TGGGCGTGGGGAAGAAGATATAACAACTACAATTACTTGAAGTTGGTACGACAAGCAAACAGAAAGGACATTTTTGGGTAGGAGGGAGGAGAGGGAGGAGGGAGGGAGGTTTTGGTAAGGGGCAACAATAATCAACCACAATGTATATCGACAAAATAAAATATAAAAAAAAGAGGCTGGGTCAATCTATCCTCCTACCAGGGCTATATAAAGAGGTTTGTTTCCCCACATGCTTGCTAATTGATCGTCACCAAACATTCTGATCCTCGGAAATATGAAGGTAAAAATTCTATGTCTGCTATCTCCTTATTTAGTTTGCGTTTCTTTGCAAGGTTGATCATCTTTTTATTGGTTTATAATCCATTTGTATGTCTTTTTCTGTGAGCTGCCTTTTCACGTCCTTTGCACATTTTGTGATGTTGAAATTTTGTATCATTAAATTATAAAAGCTCTTTATAAATAAAAAATAGATGTTGTGTGACATATGCATCACAAGATATTCATTTGTCTTTTGACTTTGCTTCTGGGTTTTTAAAAATTTTTGTACATTTTTTGTTTTTGATTATGTCTTTGCCATGTAGAGATGTAAACATTTTTTTAATGTTTTGTTTTGTTTTTATTGGTTATGAACATTAATGGAATACAAAGGAAATTGTCACCACTCGTACCTAGATGTGATGGCCAGATCTATACTGGCAGCATGTCCATTCCCACAAATTGTGGTTATACCCTGTGTCCCTCATTCAATTATCCCCTCTATTATCCCTGACTTCCCTCCCCATCCCCCTTTCCCCACTCCACTTTGTATCCCTAGGTATGTTCTCTCCCTCTGCAAGTCCAATGCACCACTGTGGTCTTTCTTTCCTTTCTTCTTTATCTTTTAGCTCCCATTTGTGAGATATGCAGAGAGAAGGGAATGCTCCTACACTGTTGGTGGGACTGTAAATTAGTACAACCACTATGGAAAACACACAACTACAGATTGATCTACCATATGATCCAGCAATCCCACTTCTGGGTATATACCCAGAGGAATGGAAATCATCATGTTGAAGGGATACCTGCACTCCCATGTTCATCGCAGCTCTGTTCACAATAGTGTCAAGTCAGTATGAGATCAAGTCCAGTCTCATCTCTCCCATCCACCATGCCTCCTGTGCCCTCTTTCCAGCCACCTTCGATGCACACTGCACCCTCTGGCCTCTGAGCCTTTGCCCATGCTGGGTCCGGAAAACGCACAACTACAGATTGATCTACCATATGATCCAGCAATCCCACTTCTGGGTATATACCCAGAGGAATGGAAATCATCATGTTGAAGGGATACCTGCACTCCCATGTTCATCGCAGCTCTGTTCACAATAGCCAAGACACGGAACCAACCTAAATGTCCATCGATGGATGATTGGATAAGGAAACTGTGGTACATATACACCATGGAATACTACTCTGCCATAAAAAAGAATGAAATTCTCCCATTTGCAACAACATGGATGAGCTTGGGGAAACTTATGCTGAGTTAAATAAGCAAAACACAGAGATGTAAAATTTTAATGTGATCGAATTTATCAAGTTTTCCCTTATAGCTTTGGAATTTTGCTTAGATAGTCCCTCTCTTCTGCAAGATTATCAAAAACTTCTGTTTTCTCCTGGTACTTTTATAATTTGATTTTTTATGCTTAATATTTGTTCTGTCTGGATTTTATTTTGGAGTGAGGAATGAAGGAGGGATTTAGCTTTTTCCCAGCTAGTTCACCCTTTCTCTCTTTACTATTTACTCAATAATAAATACATTTTTTTCCAGTGATTCGAAATGCCAGATTTACCATATATTAATTTTTCTTTAGTGTTTCATAGTACCTACTTTACAAGGTTGCTGCCAGGTATAAATGAGTGAGCACACCTATCGCTCTCAGAATAGTGCCTAGTACATAGTGAGAGTTGAGGAGCTGTCTCTTTATTGATTGATGATTGATTGGTTGTTTTTTTAAACATTATACAATATAATTGACTTTTGTGGCCCTTTACCAAGTCCTCCCCGTCTCCCCTCCCGCTCCCTCTCCCCCCCGGCAACCTCAGTTCTGTTCACTTCTTTTAACAAGAGAACTGTCATTTATTTATTATTTTCTTCCCTTACTATACACTCACTACCTGGTACTCTAAGTCCCCCCATTAAGGGACTAACAGAATGATAGACTCAGCTGAATGAATTTTAAAGAGGGGCTGGTAATTAAGACAATTCACCTCCCCGTCTCCCTCTAAGCCTATTTATTCAACTTGGGTGAAGAGATTTTCCAATGTGTTTTACAAATAAGGTAATTGAATAACAAATTATTCCATTGATAGGAACAGCCAATATCATTGAAAACAGCAGCATTCTGCCTTGTTACCAATAAAGCATAAGTTCAACAGGCAATTCTGATTTAACCCCTTTTCTCCTGAAAGCACCGTTTCTCATATCTCAACATGTGAGTGTTGAGTTGGACTAATTTTTAGTAGAATGGGAGGTTGGATGTGTGTGTCAGTCCTGCCTTCACTTCCCAGAGGTTAAAGTCACATCAAATACGACTACAAACAACCATATTCAATTGGGTTTTCTGTGTTCTCTGATCTCTAGGGCTGAATGTCTGAGTTAAGACTCAGTCTCCTGTGGCTTTTCTCTTCTTCTGAAATTCAAAATGAAAAAAGAAGCTGCCTCCAACTATGCCCTCTCCCCTGTTCCCACCCACATACTATATTTAAAGGTATATATTTTTTCTCTCATTTTAGCTTGTCTTTTTGCCATGATTACCACCATCTCCTCAGGGTCTCTATCATTTGGATCTTTTCCCCTGTCCTGCAATGCCAAGGTAGGAGAGGTTTAAAACTCCTTGTGATGGGAATGATTCCAAGTTACTTGCTGGTCCTGATGTGTCAGCCTAGCATGTGCTGGTGGGCAGCTGGCCTAAGACAGGGATGGGACCCAAAGCTGAGGTTGAGGCAGGACAGACTGTGCTGTAAGTGTCACAGATAGACCTCCCCATGACTAGTTTAGCCAGTATATGAAGGAGACATCTAGTATCTGGACAGAACTTGGAAGAGGGGAGATGAAGGAGTTCCTCTTCATCTCCTTTATCCCTGGCCAAGCTCTGTAAGGGTGGGTGACCTTCCTCACTGGAGGTAAGGTTATGCAGGCTTGCTGACTTGATCCCTTTTCCTTCCCATGGGTGACAAAAATTGAGAGCCATCAACTGAGGTGAGATTTCTTGCCATTAGCCCGTGGTACAGAGAGCCCCCTGTTCACTGCAGCTAGAAGCAATGGTTTGGGGCATACACTACGCCCACCCACCCCCCATTCCAGCACCCTGGAGAGCAGTACAGCCACCATGGCACAGCTACAGGTAAAGAGCAAACTCTCTGTATTAGGTCTCAAGAGGAAACAGGCCTAGTCACCTCTTCCAAAACTGCTTCCCCATCCTGCTTGCCCATGTTTAGGCCTCTGGGTCAAGGACTGGTTTTCTGATTTGGAGGAAGGCACACTCTCTGGTCCTACTGTGCTGACCCCAATGAATCCAGAGTAGCTCTGGGGATTTATCCAGACCCAGACTTTTTAATAGGCATATTTATTTTATTGATGCCACCAGAGGCCAATTTATCCGGACAATCACCCCTACTGGCACATCTCCCCCCGCCATGCTTTGCTCAGGTACTGAGCCTGGATGAAATAGTATTGGCAACTTTTCTCTGCCCACCTCCCCTTCCTCCCACCTTTCCTCCACAATCTACCTGAATCCAATTATGTGAAATGTAAACTGACTGTGTGAACATTAAACTACAATACTGTTCCTGGTTTTTCATCCAAATCTCCCTCTTCCAGGATGAAAATGGGAATCTACTCCCTGGACCCCTGCTGTATCATTTATGCAGAGCTCTGTGCTCTCAGCATCAATTTGTGGCCTTTTTATACAGTCAGACCTTCTAAAGAAACTTGCAATAGTTCATGAGATCGAAATGGGAAAATAGACCAAGGCAGGTTAGCCAAAGACCAGTAATTTTTTTCCTCCCAACCTTTTCTTATTCTTATGTGCTAAATGCAGGGGAATTATTCCAGCACAGTCCACCAACCATAGTGTACCGGCTGAGAGCACAGGCTTTGGGTTAGAAGGTCAAGTCCTGATTTTGCTACTGAGATTATATGACCTTAGGCAAGTTACTTAACTCCTCTGAGTCTCAGTTTCTCCCTGACTAATTGGGTTATTGAGAGGAATACATGAGATAATGTTGATACAGTTTAGCACTGTGCTTGGCTCAGAGCAAGCCATTATTATAACAATAGCAATTAGCATGCACAGGGTGTGCTGAGCTTTCGATTACCTAATTTGATCCTCCTGACGTTCCTGAAGCATAAATACAAGCAGCGTTATTACTGCTCTACGGAGAGGGAAACTGAGAGCCAGGGAAGAAAAGGGAATTGCTGCATGGTTACTCAGACCCTGAAGGACAGAGTCAAACCTAGAATCCAGGGGCTCTAATTCTTTCTCTAATGTTCCTGATATTCTGCTGTGTTTCATAAGCACAAATGCTGAAACAAGACATATATGAATCAAACAGACTAACACACTCAGAGAAAGCATGTAAATTATCAATACAGTGATGGCCCATAAGATTCTAGAACTCACACCCTCATTCACCCACTCTTCCCCTATTGGTATCTTGTTAGCATTTTACTATGTATTTGCTGAGTCCAAATGCCACATATGCTTTATAGATGCTCTGTGCTTTATAGATATGATCTTATTTCACCCTCAGGGTAACTCAAGAAATAAGTGGTATTAACCCCATTTTACAGATAGGGAAACAGAGGCTCCTGTTTCAGATAACAAACTGACTTCCAAAGTACATATCCTTAAATTGCTTCACCCCGTTTGCTTTGACTTCTGTGTAGTTGGAAAACTGGCCCCCCCACACACCAATCAAGAACGAGGAGGAGCTACGAGGAAAAGAAAATAAGAAGGACTCACAGCAGGACGTGTAATTCCTCCAGCCCGTCACTGCGATCCCCTGGGTCTGGCAGGTGCTGGCATAGTTCTGCAGCCAGCTGCAGGCGGTCTGCACTGCACCCGCATCAATGCAAGAGTCAAACAGGCAGTTCTTGTAGAAGAAGTTTGGATTGACCTTGCTGTGACACTTGGAGAAAACAGCGTTCTGGTTGGGGATCAGGCTGCACAGCTGCTGCACCTTGGAGAAACCTTCAACCTTGGCACAGGATGGGCAGCGGTCCCCACAGCCCACCTGGCAGAAGGTGTCCCTCTTCACCCAGCTCTGCCCAAACTCGTTAATACTCGATGCCAGCAGACCCATGGGCATCTCCAGGTCATCGTCGGGGTTGCCATTGTAGCGGCCACACAGGCCATGGGTGCTGTTCTGCATGCTCCGAGGGACGGTGATGGACAGGAAGGTCTTCCAGTCATACACAACCTTCAGGCCAAAATCAGTTTCCACCACCACGTGGAAGCCAAAGGAAAAGATATTTATCTTCCCTTGTCCCAACTTCAGGGGCAGATATAGCCGTTCATTGTTGACCTGTAAGAGGAGGAGAGTTGAGGTGGAGAAATAGAGTTGGCCCAGAAATTTCCCAACTCTTCTCTTGGTGATTAGTCTCTAGAAAGACAAGTCCCCGGGGGGAGTTTGAGTGTGTTGAAGGCAGTCTTTGCAGGTAGTGTTGTTTATGTCAGTCAATGATTATTATTAGGATTTGTACAGACTTAAAAGACTATCCTCTGTACACTAATATACCTATTTATTTCAGGGCCTTCTGTTTACATAGCATTATTTCCCCCAGGAGTTCAAATTGTTTTCTCCAAGGTAATGAGAGGGTAATAAGAATTCAATTAAAGTTAGACTAAAATACCGAAATCTAGAACTCCTGAGTTTCTATTTCTAGCTCTACTGTGGATTTATTTTAAGCGAGCCCCAATTTATCGATTCCTTGGGCACTTTTTTTTTTTTTAGAGGGTGATGTCACTTTGCTGTTCCCTCTGTCTGGATGCTATTCTTCACCCATCAACGTTCCTCTCATCCTCCAGACCCTGCTCTGATGTCGCCTCTTCTGTAAAGCAAGATTTTCCAAGCCTGTGGTCAGAATTAATCATGCCCTTGTCTGGGCAACCAGAGCATGTGATTTATACTTCTCTTGTATTCTTCTCCACCTTTGGCCAAAAGCAAGCCCGGGCATGTAGCTACTGAAGCACACATCACAATCTGCCTGATTACATGGTTGTTTGTATACACCTCTGTCTCACCTACAAGATTATGATCAACTTGAGGGCAGGAACCGCATTTTACTGATCTTTATGTCCACTTTCCCCTCGCAACTCCCCACGCCCAGCACAATGCCTCATATGGAGGGGGAGCTTGACACGTGTTTCCTCCCACATATTTTTAAATTCAGACAACAGGGAAATCCCTTAACATTAAACTCCAGGACTGCACTGCCCTTGGACTATTTTGATTCAGATGTGCCATGTCCTACAGCCTGGACAGTGCATGATGAAAAACAGAGGCTGCTACTCACTCACTGCAGCCAGGGCAAGAGGAGAGCTGGCCTTCCTGGTGGGACGGGTGTGTTAAGATTGCTCTCTGACCCCGAACCCTTCCCCCCGACCTCCACATGCTCTCTCCTAGCTGAAGCCCCTCCCCACTCCATTTCACCTTGACTATTGAATAATCTCCTGACTTGTCTCCCTGGCTCCAGGATTGCCCCTCCTCCATTCACTCACTACTGTCACCCCAGTGTTTTTAAAATGCAACTGAAAGCAGATAATCCAATACTTAAACTCTCTCCAGGGCTAAGTAAAGTGTCTGACCTGCTCAGCACAACACAGTGGGCTCTCCAGGAGCTGGCCCTGCCTTTCAGACCCAACCCACTTGCTTCTGGCACTCCAGCAATACCCAACAGTTTGCAATTCCCCAAATGGATCAAGTGTGTCATTCTACTCTGCCATTTCCTATGCTGTAAGTATAAGGGGTGCTTCCCATGTCCCACCCAGGGCCCCCATCCCTAGTCACTGTGACTACAGGCTAATGATAATGTACAGCTATTCTTGGCCCAATGGGAGCCACTCTGCTCAGAAGGTCACAATGCTCCACTTCCACCCCCTCACCCACCCAAGGATAGCCCTTGGCCATTGACTGACACTGGGGACCAACTCTGTGGTGTAGGTCATGTTCCAGAGCTCCCAGAAGGCCAAACTAAAGCTGGTCTCCAGCTGAGACCACGTCCCTGACAATCTCGCTTCCTCTGGAGCTTCCTTCACTTTCCCAAGAATCCCCACCTCAGGCCTCTCTTTTAGGTAACCTGACCTAGGACAGCAGGGGTGCCCTTCCCCCATCCCCATCTTCATAGGGCAATGCCCGCCCTTCAAAACTCAAATCAACTATTCTCTTCTATAAATATTCATCTAGGTAGAATTAATTCATTCACCCATAGACATTAATGTGGCACTACTGTGTGCAAGGCACTGTGCTACATGCTGGGATAAAGCTTAGGGCCTTCTGTCTAGCTACCAGCCATGTGGCAGAGACAAGTACATAAACAGATAATAATATCATCTGATAAAAGCAACAATAGAGATCAATAGATGCACAGGCACCTGACTCAGCCTGGGAACAGAACCAGGGATGTTTGCAGAAGACAATGCCCACACCCGGTCCCAAGGATGAGCAGAGGGAGGCCAGTCAAGGAGGAATGAGACTGAAGAAAAGGGAATTCCAAACTCAGAGACAGCCCAAGCAAAAACCCAGACGAGAGAAAGAAATCCTGATAAATATGAAGAATTGCGTAATTTAGTGCTGCCAGAGCATAAAAGGTGGCCTTGGGAGTGGTGCAAGATGAAGGTGGAGAGGTGGGGAGGGCCTGGGTTGCAGAGGGCTGTGGATGCACTGTCACTCACGGCCAGGAGGCCTGGGAGATAAAGCCTGAAAAATACCCACTCGTTTTGCAAGAAAAAAAAAAAAAAATCATCAGTGACCTTAGTAAGAGAATTTAAGTAGTATGATGAGGCCAGAAGTGAAATTGCAGAAGCACCACATAGCAAATATAACAGCAAATGGGAGATACACAAGCAGACATGACATTCTCAGGGGTGTGGCTAGAGGGAAGGAGAAATTGCACAGAAGCTAGTGGGGAATTGCAGACCAAGGTTTGTTTTAGAGTGAGCGTGTTTATGGGTTGAGGAGAAAGGAAAGGTTGTTTATGGGTCGTAGGAAAGGACAGGTTGAAGACACAGGAGGAGAGGAGAGGACAGATGGGCAAGATCCCTGGGCAGGCAAAACAGAGGTGAACAGGGGTGCAGAGTGGCTGTGGGGAGGAGCAGAGATGCCTCCTTCTCTGCAGGTGGGAGGTAGTGGCTGAGGAGGAAGCAGGGGCAGTCATTTACAGGACAGGGTGCGTGGAGGGTGGCAGAGGAAGGACATCAGACAGGGCCAGCATGACTTTCTCAACCAGGAGGCCCAGAGACAGGATGATGCAGTTCTGTGCAAACACAGAACACAGATTTGGCAGGTCACTGAGGGAATTGGAGGCCGTGGAGACTCTTGCCCACCCTGAAGGCTCATGACTAATAAACTAAAAGCCGTGCACACAGAGGCTGGTGTGTGCCAGCTTGCCCTCCTGCCAAAGTACCCCTGCATTCTATGTTCTTGGCTACCTGGTGTCATGCAGAGGCAGTGCCTTGGGGAGGAAGTGCAATTGGATCAAAGCTAAAAGGCTTGCAAATTCTGTCAATGCCCAGGAGAACCCTGAGAAAGGAACCTACCAACTCAGACAGGCTCGGCTTCTCTCTGCCTCTGAAGCCCAGCTAGTGCCACCTCCATCCTGGCCCCACTGCTCTGAATCTCTCTGTGTGAGTGGGAAATGGAGGAAAAGAGCGAGCTTGGGGAGAGGGGGTCAGAGGGAAAGGAAGAGGTTGGTATGGCAACAGAGCTTGATGGATGGAGGAGAAAGGGCAGAGCAGAACTAGAAGCAGGCATGGGACTGAGTACGGGGAAGTGTATTCCAAATACTTGAGTATTGGAAATAAGAGCACATGTTAACGTTTCAGTAGAGAGTTTTCCTTTAAACAATTGGTCCTGACCCACTTCTTCAGCTGTTCTGAGGTCCCCCTTCACCTCCCGCTCTTCACTGATGCTTTTTTCCTTTTTTCCTGGATGCCCTTACCTCATTCTCGGCCTGGCAGACATACTCCAGCACTTAGCTCTGGGCCATCTCTTCCAGGAAGCCCTCCCTGAAGCCCCCCAGACGGCTTAGGCTGCTCCTCCTCTTCATTGCACGGCCCTCTGTGAGCAACATTTTTGCAGCGCTTCACGTGACATTGACATTAACTGTTAGTAGGTCTGTCTCTCCCTCTAGAACCAATGCCACGTTTGGTTCTTTTTTCTGCCCTCAGGGCTTGGCACTGAATAGGCATCGTACAAGCTCATGGAACTAACCTGAGCCAGAGTGATGCTCAAAATCTCACTCTTCTCTGATGGCCACTGGATTGGCAATAAGTGGTAAAGACACAGGCTGTGAGGGCCCTGACAACCTCTGCACTGGCCTGACCATGAAGGACCTTGCTGTGCTGAAGTCTGGGGCAGGGGCAGGAGAGAGGCTGTCTCCATTGAGCTCTGGCTGTGGATGGCAGAGACTGGGCTGCTGCAGTGCCCCAGGAGTGGCTCACCTTCTGCCGCTTGCTCCCATAACCCTGTCTGGTCTATAGATAACACATTATTTCCAGCTTTTCTTGGCTTAGTGGATTTCCCCACATCCTGCAGTGCTGTTTAACACAGGGAAAGGTCAGAGTCATAGAGGGACCCTGTGTCCCACAGAATCACTTCCATGCCACCCTCTATTTTTGAGAGCATCAGCGGTGACCTGGAGCTCTGGGCTGCGTTTTGCCCAGCACTTCATTTCACACTGTCATTCTGATGGCCATTATTCTTTAGGCTCAGGGAGAGATGGTGACTAATAATAACAACATGGGGAAAACAAATGCAAATCATTGAGAAAGAGATCCTGTAATGCATATTAATAATTCAAAGTAATTGCTATATCTATCCCCCAGGCCCCAAAAGAAAAGACCTTCAATGCATTCTGAACCCGGTCTTCTTGTCAAGGATTTGAAAGCTATATACTCTCTTCTCAGTTTGGGCACTTAAGACATCTGGGTGACTTATAAAGAAGGGCCCTAGCAAGGGGCCCCCCAATCCCTTTAATCCATTCTTCCTTGATGCTCCTTACTCTCTAATTACCCCCTGTTGTGGGTTGAATAGTATCCCCTAAAAAGATATGGTGAAGTCTTAGCTGCTGGTACCTATAAATGTAACCTTATTTGGAAATAGGGTCTTTGCAGATGTAATCACATTAAAGTGAGGTCAGACTGGATTAGGTAGGCCCTAAATCGGATGACCAGTGTCCTTAAAAAGAGAGGGAGATTTGGACACAGAGAAACAGGAGACACAGAGGGAAGAAGGCCATGTAAAGATGGAGGCAGAGACTGGAGTGATGCTGCCACAAGTCAAGGAGCACCCAGGATTGCCTACAAGCACCAGAAGCCAGGACGGGCTTCAGATTCTTCCCTGAAACCTAATAGGGAGAACGGTCCTGCTGACACCTTATTTCCAGACTTCCTGTCTTCAGAACTGTGAGAGAATAAGTTTCTGCTGTTTTAAGCCACCCAGTGTGTGGTATTTTGTTACCTTAAGAAACTATACATGCTTTCCCTCTCCATCTCTCTACGTGAGGGAGAAATCAGCTGGGCAGTGCTCCTGGCTCTTGCCTTTGGCACTGAGTGCATCTCATGAGGGCAGACTACACATCTGGAAGCTGAGCTGACCCATTAGGGGCTTAGCCCTAAAGTGGAGGAAAAGGGAAGGAAACACTCAGAGAATGTGGGGAATCAGTTACATGAAGGAGAGAGAAGAAATAGCACGAAAAAGAATACGTGTTCATGAAGCTCCAACCATCTATATGTGAAAATAACTAAGAAGAACAGAAAACAACATGTGTAGACTCAGAGATGTACAGACCTAAATGCTGAGAGTGTGAAACACAAGGCAGAAAATACGATTCACAATAAACCAGATGGGACAGGACATATGAACAGATTATATTTTAAAAGAAAAGAAAAAAAGACCCTGTTAAGTGGAAAGGTGGAAGAGTGCTGAATGTCGAGGAGATGAGTAACTGTAGCATTTACACATCTAAGGGTGCGAATATATCAGGTGAGGAGAAAGGAGAAAAGGACAAGTACGAGCATGATGCAAGCTGTGTGGACAAAATGACGGACGTGTTTGTTTTAACACGTAATGAAAATGGAGCAGAAGGAGGTTAATGTAATGGGCAGCTTCAACCATCCAGATATCTGCTGCAAATCTTGTGCGACTAAAAGCAAAGCATCTGATGCATTCATAACTTGCCTCGGTGGCAATTTAATCTCTTAGATTGCCAAAGAAGTGACCAATGGCAAAACGAAGGTCACAGGAACCTTGCAAGACCGGGGTTATTCTGTCATCTCCTTCATTCATTTGACAAATGTTTTGAGTGTCACTATGTTTGGGGCACAGTACATTCATTCAATATAAAGATGAATTAGGTATGGCCCCTGTCCTCAGGAAGCCCATGATCAGTATTAAGGGAATTATACATGAAGATCATGAAAGAAATACAGTAAGACTAATGCATGAGGGATCCTGGAACAAACTGTTACAAGAAGCATAGAGGAAAACAATCAGGGTTTAGGTTTATAATGTCCAAGACAGGGAAGAAGAATGGGCCTAGTGACACTGCTGCCTCCGATGCTAAGGAGGATTTTCCAGTAAGCATGGAAGGGACGATGGTTCAAGAAGCTTGGGAACCTCTCTTTGTCAGAGAAGGAAGTTAAGGAAAAACCAAGGAAGGAAAGAAATCGGTACAGTGGCCCAGGGCACTCTTTAGTAACAGCTCAAAACTTTAAAGTGGATGTATACAATTAGAAAAGAGCCCCCTTAGAGATAATTTACGGCACAGACCAGTGAAAATAAGCTTCTCCAAAACGCTCAGAGACTGTTGGCTTGCTTGTTAGCGTTTCTAGTCAGGCACAGAGCAAGTCATTGGAAAAGGAATGGCCAGGCCTGCTGCTGGCTGATGTTGTCAGGCCAGACAAGGGACAGCAGAAGTGTTCACCCCCTACTGCTCCTGTCTTCATGGTCAAGGGAGTGCCCTTTGGATGAAAAGGATGGGAAGGGTAGAGGAAGGAAATGAAGCCCACGTGAGTCAAGAACTTGCAGGAGAGCGCCCACATGCTCCAAATGCATGCGTCAAGACTTGAACTTGTGGATCCCGTGGGAGCCAACAGGGAGACTGGGAGAGGCAGAAGGAGGTCAGAGCAGGTAAAAGTCATTCTCATCTCAGAAAAGGGAAGGGGTGGGCTTGGGACAATAGTACCACACAGAGAAGCTTAGTTGGTGCTAGGCATGCTTTCTATTTTACAGATGGTGTGATCCGGCTAGAAAGTTAAGTGACTGCCCAAGGACACACAGCAGTCGCCAAGCCAGGATTCAAATCTAGGTCTATGCTGTCTCAACATTCCCTGCTACAATACGGAAGGTACCATTTCTAGTGCTGGCTCTGCTCTTAGTTTGATCTCTCTGAGCCTTGGTTTCCTTATCTGTAAGATAAAGTGACAGAAACGCTCCAGGGCCTCTCTGTGCTCTAACATACTATGATGTTCTTTGGATTCTGGACCAGCCTGATTCAGCTGCAGCCTAGCTTGCTGACCCAGGACACCTGTCCTCACGTCCCCATGACTTCCTTCCTGAGGTCAGCCTGTGGCTACTCACCAGCACAGTGTGCTTGTAGGCCCGGTGAATCACAATGCTGTAGCCAAACACAGTCATGTCCACCTGTTTGACCCACAAGGCCAGTGACGGGTCCCGGTCCTCATTCCTGGCTGTGACGATGAACTTGGGGAAAGAGTCTGAGCTTGGCCTGCTTCCTGTGGTGCACAGGATGAACGGGCAGCTGGTCTGGAAGTCAAAGGGGTAGCCATCAAAGGTGAGGTAGTGGCCGTAGCCCGAGACGATGCAGGAGGCGTCAGTGCGGGCCTGGCAGTAGTACAGGCCACCCTCCTCCATGCAGTATTCATCATCCTTGCAGGGGATGGTCTCACAGTGGATGCTATTGTCTGTGCCATTGCAGTAGCAGAAGATCTGGCAGTCCAGGTCCACCCAGAAAGTCTCATTGGTGGTGAGTTGGTGCCCCTCGAAGTTGCAGCCACACTCGCTCCGGGGCACACACTGGCTGCCCTGTAGGGCATAGCCCTCGTCACACTGGCATCCCTCAGAGCAGCTGTCCACACAGATGGGACCCAGGGCCAGGGTCTCACAGGTCTCTGTGCATGTCATGCACTCCTCGAAATGGCTGTTCTCAGGGCATTCCAGAGCTGAGGGCATCAAGGAGAAGACAAGCTTGAGAAAGGGACAGAGGCCAGAGACAGGGTGTATATGTGTGCGTGGGTAAATGTGTGCTGCATGTGTGTGCATGTGTGCGTGCACACACGTGTGTGCTCTTATTTGTACAACACAGTGAGCTCAATGAATGTTGTGTGATTGGCACCACCGTCATCCTCATTTGGGGCAATCGAAGGCCCAGTGAACCCCCACGCCCACGCTCTGCCAGCGCACTTAACTTTCCGTGCAGAAGATTTTAAGTCTACAGCCGGTATTGAGCAGCTGCTACGTGCCAGGCACTGTCCTAGGCACTTTTCTGTACCTTATCTCACAACCTGCAAAGTAAAGTAAGCCTTATCATTCCTCTCTCACAGCTGAGGAAACTGAACTTCAACGATTTAACTTAACCTAAGTGGAGAGGGAGCGAAGTGTGCTGGAAAGAACAAGTGCTTCGGGGCCATAGAGACCTGGGAATTCCACTGACTTAACTCTCGCAGATCATCTAATGTCTCTGAGCTTCATTTTCTTCTTTTATTAAATAAGGACCACACTTCCCTTGCAGGGTTGTTCTGAGGATGATAATGTGATATACTGAGTCCACAGCAGAGTCTCAATAAACAGTATGCCCTTCCCCCTTTGTCTTTCCTTCCACTGCAGCTAGGTTTTACGTAGGTATTTTTACTCCACAGTTAGGTTCCACGGTTGTCTCTTTGTCTTTCATTTCTGTGCTCCTGGTGCCCTCTGCCTCCTTTACCTTCTCCCCACCCCTGCACATGATCAGCCCCACTGCCTTTGCCCTCACTCCTTCCCCTACCTGGACAGCCCCATGCAGACAGAGCCAAGTCTGACCCATCCTTCAAGTTTCATTTCAAATCTGCATTTCCTTCCAGTAGTCTTCCTCGGTATGTCAAGTCTCTGAATCATCGAGCACAGCACATGAAGTAATAACACCATGCAATGCTCACTGTGGAGTTCAGACCCATTTCTATTACTTTGGTTGGTCACAATTTGACAGAGGCAAGGACAAAATCCAGGAGCACAGACGAAATCTACCCACCAGTCTGTGTAAACTAAAGATCGGTTGAGGGCCGGCCTGGTGGCGCACTGGAGAGTGCGCCACTTGGGAGCGCAGCGGCACTCCCACCGAGGGTTCGGATCCCATGTGGAGACCGGTTCCCACTCACTGGCTGAGCGCAGTGCGGGCGCAACACCGAGGGTTGCGATCCCGTTGCCGGTCAGTAAAAAAGACAAAAAGGAAAAAAAAAAAAAAGATCTGTTGAAGGTCCCCTCCATCTTCTGGGAAAATAAGATCTTGCCTTTAAAACTTTCTTTGGCTTTTACACATGCCATCACACTTTAATACTATTTTACAATCCAAGGACACGAAGGACACTACAGAGAAATAAATTGCATGGCAATAATAGCTCTGCTCACAAGTACCAACTCAATAGTTCTGCACCGTATACTGAAAGCCAATTTTTTCTTCCTCTGGGCTAAAGGACTATCTCTACTCCCATTGACTGCAATACTGTACGGCTTTGGAGTTGAAGGCTAGTTCAGCACTGATTATATATGTCTGTATAGGGGGATTTCCACATTTGTCTCTAAATTATGAATGTTATAACACTGACTGCAGCTTTACAGTGATAGCAAATAACATGACTTATTTAAATGGCTCTTGCTTTATGACTTATTGTGTTGTCTGAAATTGTCTGGAAGTCTGGAACATACAGACGTGGAGTAATAAAACTTCCCCCCAGCCCGTGAAATTACTTAATTGGACAGCCTGGCTCTGCCACCAGGAGGGCTGGTTAAAAATATCTGGACACAGAAGCAGTGGTTGTCTCTCTATAGGTACAAAGAAGATTGTGTTCCTGATATGCAGCTGTTGCCCAATCCAGTCCCCACTCTGCGAGATCCCAACGAGGTTAACCCCTTAGTACCCGGAGGCTTGATGAACCAAGTGTGCATGCTCCAGTCCCTCTCACCAGACCCACGTGCACAAGGTCTAGGGGAGGTATCTTGGGGATGTCTCAAGTGCGAGCCCTGGCCCTCCACCCAAGGAAGCCATGTTGCCCACATCCTTCTCTAAAAAAGGCACTTGCAAGAGCTTCCTCCTGCTCTGCTGGCCCACATGAGGCAGGACAAGAAGATCTTCTCAGCAGCCATTATACTCAGGAAAAGAAGGAACATCACCATCACGCTGCGCTAACTTGGCATGCACAATGCTACAAAACCGTGCTCTATGCAGTACAAAAGCAATCCAGAAACACACTCTGCCAGGAGGAATTATTAGTCTAAAGAGATGGCACTGACATGACCTGGTAAACCAGATTTGGTATGGGGGAGACTTGGTCATCGCATACCGTGAATGAAATACAACTAGAAATCTGGGTGTGGGCGCAGGGACAGAAGTTGCGGTAGATAAGATGGAGATGGGACAAGAGAGGATGGTGGCACGTGGATTAAAAAGAAGGCTCTGGGAAAGAATTATAAGGTCCCACTAGATGTACTGGTCAATGGAAACCATGGAGGCTCTCAAGCTGTAGGTGACTTTATGAAAAGAGCATGCTCCCAGAATTCTTGCTTTGGGATTCATACCATCTGCTATTAGTCCCTCCAAGGATGGAAGAAGCCACCCTCCTCTGAGATGACAGCCACCAAATCCTCCATGTGCTCCTTAGACTTCCCAAGCTTAGAAATCCGAGACCAAGTATGTGTATGTGTGCATGTGTGCATACGTGTGGGGAGGTGTATGTGTGAGTGTATGCGTGTATATGTGTGTTAATTCTTAGCTCTGTTGAAAGGGCCTAAAAGCATGGAAAAGACACCCAGAAAGCAATGGGTACACCTTACCCAGATGTTGGTTTCTGATAACATCTCCCACCAAAAGGAATCAGGGCTTCTTGGAGTAATGGCGAGTTCCAGTCTGGGGCAGGAAGGTTAAGAGATAAGTGTGGAGCATCTCATTATGCCAGAAAATAAGAAAGTGCTCCAAAAAATGACAGAGGCAAGCCAAAAGGACACAGGAGCCAGCTTGAAGGGGCTCCTACAGGCCTCATCTGGAACAATTTTAACACCAAAAATAGTTAATAAATGTAATAGGAAATACAAACCATCAAAAAAATTGGAATCAATGTCCATATTGATGAGATGATAAACAGGTAGGTAGATGGATCAATAGGCAGAGAGAGAGAAGGGAGAGATCTTGCTCACAGTAGGATGACAACTGCTGACTGGTAAAAGCAGAGAGAGTGCTGGAGCTGGGCACTGACAGTTTGGAATCATCACGCTAAAGATTGATACAGCAAAGATCAACAGTGGGCACTAAATCAAGAAGGGAGATTTTGAGGAAGCACAGGAGTTTGCACGGTCTTAAAGGATCTCCCCACAGACTGCAGATTAGTTGCAAAGGAAAATACAGTGACTACACAGTTGGGACGTTCGACAACAGCTTGACCAGGGGATCAGCGTGCACATCACCAGTGAGGGAGGCTGGACGGAGCGTGGTGCCACGTGTGCTGTGATGCTGCAAGCAAACCACGCATCACCCTTGCAGGAGGTAAGTGGGGATGTGCAGCTGGAGCTCACTATGAGGCAACCTCAGACCCAATGGAGGGCCGTTCTATTTTAAAAGGGGGAGGCTGTATCTTTACAAAGGCCAGTGTCATAAAAGACAAAGAAAGTTGAAGAATTGTTCCAGATTAAAAGATGCTAAAGAGACATGACAACAAAGTGCAGCATGTGGTCCTAGGCTAGATCTGTACTGAGACCAAAAAAAGCCGTAGAGGACGCTGCTGAGTCAATTGCCAAAACTGGAACATGGATGTTAAATTACTCTATCAGGGTTAAATTTCCTAAGGTCAGTAACTATGCTGTGGTTATATAAGTGAGTGTCCTTATTCTAAGAAAACACACACTGAAGTTATCAGGGGTAAAAGGACGTGCTTTATGTGACTCAGTCTCAAATGGAGAGAGCGAGAATGAGAAAACAAATGGGACAAGGTGCTAACAATATGTTCATCTGGGTAATGGTTATACAGCTGTTCTTGCAACTTTTATGTGACTTTGAAATTATCTCAAAATAAAAAATGTTTCAAAAATTGGGGAAGAAAGGTAATGGAAGAGAAATGGATGCAGAGGATGGAATCTTAATGGCGGCGTTGGTTGTGGTTCAGGGCTGATCTTTGTGGCGGGAGAGGGATGGGTGCTGAAGTCCAGGTGAGGCAGTTCTTGCTCCAGGTGTGGGTCCTGCCCTCTCAGCCACTCCTTCTACCCTTCCCGTTACTCCTCCCTGTGGCCTCCCCGATAACCAAGGGTGTTATATGTCAGGTCTTCCCAGCAATTATTCCAGTGACTACTAGTACTGCCACTGCCCTGCTGAGAGGGGTCAGATACTCTGGGGACAAAATGAAAAACCAGCAACGTGGGACTGTCTTCATAGCTGGTGTCAAGTTTGCCCTGGGGAGCAGTATCAATCTCTACACCCTGAAAGGCACCCTGACTGATCACCTCCTATGAATGGGACCCTTCTTTGCCAAGGGAGAAGTCACCTACAGAGCCATCACAAAGATGTCTAGTCCTTTGACACAGCACCTGTACCCTCTGTTAGATAAAACTGCAAGTCAATAGGATGGCTAATTGTTCCACAAAATGAAGAATACCATTGAAGAGGTATTGTGCAATTAGATATAAATATAAGGGTGAGAAACAGTCTGGTTTGAGGTGATGGGCCTTCTGGAGGACACAGTAATTAAATCGTCCTTGAGCTCAATCCCACCTGGAAGAGAAGTTCTGAGTATGAAGGTCCAGCGTGGCATCCATTTCCCACCCCCCATGTAGCCTCCCCATAATGCAGCCCGAACTTACGGCAGAAGTCATAGGTCCGCCAGGGACCCACCTCCACATCAGCATTCTTGCAAGCGCTTGCATACCGGGCCACAGAGTCACAGAGTTCCGACTCATTGCCCCCACTCTGGCACAGGCGGAAAAGGCAGGTCCGATAGTAGGCAGTGACATTGACCACCCCATGGCACTCCAGAAAGGAGCTGTTGGAAGGGTCATTGATGATGCCGCACCTGGAGCGGCTCCGATAAAATTTGAGCAGCTCTGAGTCATTGTTGCAGGCCTTCAGCAGGTCCCCACACTCCCCATTGCAGATCTCCTCGAAAGTTGTCCAGCTCTCCAGGAACACTGCCAGGTTGTCCGTGCACTTGCCGTTGGGGAGGCAGAACTCATCGCTGACGTTTGCATTGAAGAAGCCACACAAGCCCCCCGTGCAATTGAAGTAAGTGGTGGACAGCCGAATGTACAAGAGTCCTACGTCTAAGTACTGCACGGTCAGCACACCCTTGGACTCCACCATAGTACTGTTTTTGTTTCGATAAATCTCCAGCTTCCCCGAAGGATGGAAAAAAGGTAATTCCACTTCCTGACCATTCAACTGAAAAACCAAATCACTATCATCAATTCCAGAGTCTCACAGATTACCCACCATTTCCCAAGCTATGGAATAAAGACATGACTCTGCCCCATGACTAGCTCTTTGAGAAATGGCCAGAAGCAGATGGTCTATGGAAACCACATAGACAAACACCAGCTGGTTTTTCATGGGTTTCTTTGTTTCTTTCTTCTGGGATTCCTGTGATTTGACCCATTTACTCTTTATTTGTGTGTGTTCTAGACCCTAAGCTAGCTCAAAACAAACAAAATTGAAATGTGAGCAAAAATGGTCTTAACTATGTGGCTTCCTCCTGCTGCCTGACATCTCCAGTTTGGTACCTTTTTGCAGACAGCTCCCCTTCCTCCCCACCTTTCTGGCTCTTTCTTTTCCCTTCAAATCTTACTTTTCCTGTGTCCCAGCCCTTTGGGGGCATATAGCAAATATCTTATAATCTAGCTGTCCATCCACTTATTTCATCTCTTACTATTCTTTTAATAAATTAATCTCTGCCAACGTGTCTATGGGAATGAAGACACAGCCTTTTCCATTTGTGGGTGTGTAATTTTATGATCTCCTTGGACACTGCTGTGTTGACTTCTGTTTTGTAAACTAGACTTCATGTGATATCACAAAATGCATGTTTAGGAGAAGGGAGATTTCCCTCTCTGAATCTCAGGTCTGCCACAATTAGCTGTGGGGCCCTCGCTTAGCCCTTTGGGATCTTCATGTGGAAATGAGGAGTTGCACTAGATGATTCCCAAGATTCCTTCTAGAACTAATGATCTATGGGCCTGGATGCCTAATGATAGACCAGGTCAGAGGGGTGGGAGGCACCACGGCAGGCACCCCTTACATTACGCCACACGGATTCCCATCTACAGGTAGGAGAGTTAGTACAGCACAAGGGTTAGGAGCACAGATTCTGGAGCCAGCCTGCCTGGGTTTGAATCACACTTCATGGCTGTGTGTCCCTGGGGAAGTTACTTACCCTTTCTGTGCCTCAGTGTTCTCATCTGAAAAAGGAAGATATATTATCTACCTCATAAGATTAAGTATGATACTGCCGATGAAGGGCTTAGAATAGTGCTTGGCACATAGTAAGCATTCTATTGGTATTTGCTATTAAGGGCAATTAGTCCCTCTCTAATTGGAGAAATTCCAGCTTCACTCCATTTTTCCACCTGGTAGAGTCTTATATGCTGCTGATCTTAGGAAAATGCTCCCATATGGGAGCCAACTCCTTCCTAGAATCCACTCATGGGCAGAAGCAGAAAGGCCAACCAGAAGAAAAGGAAAAGTTTCTTCCCTTGGCGTGACTCACAGGGCACAGGGAGTCTTACCTTGACTTCTGAAGCCCCGACTCCTCCTATCTTGACCTCCTGGTCGGCCACCAGGATCCGAAGGCCCCGGAGCCAAGCCGGCCCTGCGTCGGGTTTCTTCTTGTTGATGTCGATTTCCAAGTACTCCGGGCGCTCGGGGCAGGTCTTGAGGAGAGTGTAGGAGAACTCAGAGGGGAAGGTGTAGGCAGCACCGTCGAACGTGTGCAGCACCTGGTTCTGGCTGAGCAGGCACACGGTCTCGCGCTCAGGGAAGCAGCCCTGGTAGCCGTCCTCCACGGCGCACACCTCCCCGCTGCGGCAGGTCTTGTTGAAGCAGTAGACGTCCCCGCCCTCCTCACACAGGCACTGCACGGTGCAGTTGGCCGTGGCCCAGAAGAATTCCCCCATGGTGTAGTAGTGGCCGTCGAAGTCGCAGCCGCACTTGTGCAGCGGGACGCACTGGCTGGTGCTGAGGACGAAGCCCTCGTTGCACTCGCAGCCCTCTGTGCATGGCATGGCGCAGTTCTGCGAGGCCGTCAGGTCTGAGCAGGTGTCGGGGCAGCTGCTGGTGCACACGGAATAGTGGCTGAAGCTCGGGCACTGCACCGTGGACACTGACGCGGGGGAAAGGAAGAGAGCGTGGTAACAGCGTGAATAGACCCAAGTGCTAGACGGCCAGAATCAGACAACCACGGGGACCCAGGGAGAGAAGTCTCCTCTGGATCACCGAGCTCCTCCAGTAAGGGTCAAGCAGCCACCCATTCCAGAAGAGAGACTTGAGGTGGCATCTGTAAAAACCAGCTCAACTGCTTTGGTAGTAACTGCTGAGCAACCTGATTGGATTGTGAACTTTTACTCACTTTGATCATTGAATTTGATCATCTCGACTGTAATGAAACAGGTTGCTATCCCGACTAGACTAGACTGATTACTCAATATAGGCTTATTATTTGTTGATCTACAACCATCAGTATGTTTTAAGATCTTCAACTGACGGACATCTAAGTTGATCTGATTTTAAAGAGCATGGCCCATTCTTAAAAGGAAATAAATCCAGTTTTCAGGAGAGATGGAAAATGTAACTATTAGAGAAGTAATTTGAAAACATGAAATTTCTAACAGGGAGGTAGGCTGTAGGAATGAATTCCCTGGGATATTAAAAACAAGAAAGCACCCTATCTGCAAGGAATTTGTGTGCCTGTTCCTCCAGGAGACTGGATCAGAAGTAAATGCCTTCTGAAGGCCCTGCTTGCCTTAGAAACCTTCAATTCTTATTTTAAGAACATCTGAGTCTATATCAATGTTTGAGTCTGGTTGAATCCAACAGACAGGGGCTCAAGGGACTAGTAAACTAGCTCTCTGAATTAAATATAATTCATTTCACTAAAATGAGAGAGAGAGAGGAGAGAGAAATGTTGAAGATGGGAAAGTAGTACCATCACTAGAAAAATATATAGCCATTATAGGTAAAAATTTAGTTAGGTAATTTGGATGCTCTTGGATTGTACAAGGATCAGGAGCTGTATTCAGTCTCAACTCAAATCATGATATGGCTGTTCTGGGCTTCATAGAGGCTGGTCAGTCACATAGCAAGAAATACACTGTCGCTTAGTAGTTTGACCAATACTCTAAGAATTGAATCTGATACATGATGATTTATATGAATTCAACCTATAATGATAAGAAGAAATCTCTCTCTGGCTTTGGATCTTAAAGGAACTTTAAAATCTTTTCACCTCCATACCATTCTCAAATGCATGGATTACAATTTTCTTAACAAAATTCTTTTGTTTGCTTTAAAATTTTACAGAACTAGGAAAAGAAAAAAAGATTTAAGTGGGATAGAAGGAAAAAATAGTAAGACAGCTAAATGGTACAAAATGCTTAATCCAAAAGTATAATTCAAAATAGCCTGGATTTCCCCAAAAGCTGGGACTTTTCCTAATTACACTCAGCATTTCAGAAAAAGGGCTTCATTACTTGTGGACTGTACTCCCTATCTGCAGCCCTTTCTCTGACCAGCAGCAGCAGGTCAGCTGAAATGCTCCAGAGCAAAGGACACAGACCCTAAAGGGACTCAATGTAGAGAAGAAAGAGCCAAGGATCAGCTGTCGCAGGTTCCATTTGGGAGGTGAACTACTTTCCCAAAGCCTGGTATTGCTGACCGAGGCCAGAGGCTGCAGTTATGCCACAGCCACAAAGGCAGCCACCTCCGCCTCTGGAAAGCCCACCTCCTCGCTTAGCTCTGGGGCTGCCATCCCCTGCTACAGGGCCTTCCTCTGGCCAAATGCTTTCTGCTATACATTCCGTGTTTCCAGACCATTTATTTTCATCAGTGGGTTCATGTTAACTGGCTATGATATTGGGTGGGGGGGAAGCAAGGATCCTTCCACAGTTCGCTCTTTATAATTTGTGATATTTCAACCTTACCCTCATTCTTAACAAGGACATCGGGAGGAGCCCCGAAGCCCTAACCCTGTCCCCTGCACAAGAGAGGCCTTTCATCGGGATGGGATGCCAGCTTACCACACCCAGTCTGGATTCGCCAGTCTCCAATTGGAACACCCAGGGCTTGGCACGCAAGGGCGTAGGCCTGGATGGCTTGGCAGAGGAGTGTGCCATTGTCCCGCACACTGCACAGGTCGTACACGCAGCTGTGCACAAAGGCCGTGGGGTCCAAGACAGTGCCACACTCCCACAGGGGGCCGTCGGTCTTATTAAGGAAGCCACAGTAGTCAGAGCCAAAGTAGAGGGCTTCGGTGGCAGCATCACACTGGGTGCAGTTGTCCACGCAGCCGGAGTCGCACTTCCAGTCGGCGTGGTAGACACGCCAGCTCTCTCCCAGATCCAGGACAGACATGGCTGGCCTGCCATCGGGGCGGAGGAAGTCATCCAGAGGGTTTTTATTGTAGTTTCCGCAGAGGCCGCACGTGGAGTTTATATAGGAGCCTGGGATGGAAATGGAGGCGTAGTGCTGGCCATCAAACGTCACTAAGAGCCCAAAATCTGTTTCCACAGCAGTAGACATGCCACTCTGGTAGATTTTCACTGCCCCCAAGTCTAAGGTGACGGGCAAAGAAGTCACTAGGTCATTAACCTGCCAACAACAGTAATGGTAAAAGGCAGGTAAGCAGGTGCCCCATGCAATGGGTTCCAGCAGAGGTCAGGAAGGAAGGCAAAGCAACTCAGAGTTCCAGAAAGAATGGCCACCCAAAATGTCCGGGCTCCAGTGGGCTTACCTCTTATGAAGGTAAAGGCCTGGGGATGGTTCTAGAGAATGGGCTGGTTGTGGCCAGCCCAAGCACTGTGCATTTGAGCTGTGATAGCCAAGGCATTTCTAGTGCCACTGTAGACTCTTCTGGGGATCAGGTGGCTGTCAACCCTTCTTGGCCAGCTCTAGGCTAGATTCAGGCCTTTTCTTGAAAGACTAGTCACCTCGCTTTTCCTCTCTGTGCCTCTAAATATCCATTCTTTAAGCTTAAGTCACATAAGAGAGTACTTCAAAAAGTTTATGCAAAGATCTGTATTCTCTTTCAATTCTATTTTTCCACAAACTTTTTGAAGTACCCTTGTATTTTCCATGACCTGCTATTATTCCCCACTGCTCCCTCCTCCCAGCCAAAATGTGTACTCTGTCAACTGTTGGACACAATGGAGCTTTGGGGCTGCCCTGGTATTATTCTCTAAATGTTGTACCTCAGAGCTTTCTGGTATCAGAACCATGTCATCATTCCACAAAATCAACAACAAATTTGAACACCTGCTAGGTACCAAGCACTATGTCAATAGCCAAGAAATAAAGGGTTACAAAAAAAAAAAAATGACCCTGCCCCTTAAGGAGCTCTCAGTCTACTGTAAAAGAGGGACACAAAGAGATATTTACTTTATAGTATAGTGTTTTAAATATGAATCAATAGATGGTGCCATGGAAGAAGAGTAAATAAAACTTCATCCAGCCTGGGGGAGTCATACAAGGTTTTTAGAGGCTGTTAAGTCTGACCTAGGTCTTTAAAAATAAATAGAAGTGGCAAAAAAAAAAAAGAGTGGAGGGTGAAGGAGTCCAGGACAGGAGAAGAAAGGCAGGGGGCTCAGAGACAGCTGTGTGGCATTGGGGGGCAGTCGTTGGGTGTTACTGAACTGCAGAGGGAAGGAGTGGCCAGAGACGAAGCTGGAGACACAGGCAAGGTCCATTCATTCTGCAAATATCTATTTAGGCCTTTGTGTGTGTCAAGCACCATTTTAAGATTTGGGGATTAGTAACAAGTAAAATGGACAAAAATCATGGAACTTATGGAACTTATGCCTCATGCAACTTATACTGTAGGAAGATCAACAACAAGCAAAATAAATGAATCAAATAATTATGTCGGATAAGTGTTATGCAGAAAAATAAAGCAGGGGATATGGGTCAAAAGTGCTAAAGAAGAGGGTTTCTAATTTTAAGTGGGATGGTCAGGGCAGATCCCCCTGGGAAGAGGACATTTGAGATGAGGAAGCAAGTCATGCTGTTCTCCAGGGTAAGCATGGCTCATGAGGAGGGAGCAGCAGGCCCTAAGATGGGAACGTGCCTGGTGCTCCCAGGACCATGGGGCCAGTGTGGCTGGAGCAGAGAGGGCAGGAGAAAGCAGAATTAGATGAAGTCAGAGAGAGCAGCGGCCAGAGCAAGTAGGGCCTGTCAGCCATTGTAAAGACTCTGGCTCTGACTCTGAGCGAGACAGAGAGGCAAGGTGATGTTTAGAGCAAAGAATAGACACCACCTGACTTCTGCCTGAAAAGAATTGCTCTGGCTTCTGTGTTGAGGGCAGACCTTGGAGGGCCTTTTAAGCTATGTTAAAACAAAACAAAAGAAAACTTGGCTTTCTATTCAGTAGGGAGAGCCCCTGAGTGGTTTTAAGCAAGGGAATGACATAGTAGGATTTGCATTTTAGGACATCCATTCTGACCAGCATGAAGGACCTATTAAGGTAAGTCAGGACTAAAAGCAGAGCCACGAGAGAGACAACTACTGAAGAGCCCAGGGCGACCATGAGATTGAGGGCCTAAACTAGACACAGACATGAAGAGTGGGAGGGGGGATGAGCTTATGGAGCACACTCAGCTGGACTTGGTGGCTTTTGCGGTGAGAAATGAGAAATGGTGGCAGAATCAAGAGTGAGTTCCAGGTATTTAGCTCACATGAGTAGGTGACTTGATAAGCTTCCAACAGAGAGAATTTATCCTCCTTTTCACAGTTACCATGCCTAGCACCTATAGACATTCACATTTATGAGCTAGGATGGAATGACTTAGTCCTAGAACGGTTCTCAGTGGGCTTGACTGTAAGTGCACATAAACTTTCCAGGCTGCTCCAGACCCATACTGGTTTTTGGCACATGGGAAGGTCAAGGGTCTTACCTGTGACCATTGTTGCTACTTTCTGAGTTGTCTTTGAGATGAGGCAATAGACTGCTCCCAAGATTTACCATGGCAGATGCCACATGCAACTCTCTGTCTCTAGAGATTAGTAGTTGGCCCTCACCAGAATTGCCCTTAATGGTCCATTCATGGCAATGTACGCTTTTGCTAGCATACATTTCCAAACTCTTCTACCCTCTATCCATTACCTAGCTCCAACGCCACTACCACATTTTTAGGTATTTGTTACAGCAGCACCCCACTCCTGGTACCAATCTCTGTCTTAGTCTGCTGGGACTGCTAGAATGAAATACATTAACTGCCTAACTTATAAAAACTTAAATTTATTTCTATAGTTCTTGAGGATGGAAAGTCCAAGATCAAAGTGACAGCAGATTTGGCGTCTGGTAAGGGCCAACTTTCTGGTTCACTGATGGCACCTTCTTGCTGTGTCCTCACATTGTGGAAGGAGCAAGGGAGCTCTCTGGGGTTCCATTTATAAGGGCACTAATCCCATTCATGAGGCTTCCAGTCTCATGACCTAATCACCTCCCCAAGCCCCACTTTATAGTACCATCACCTTGGGAGTTAGTATTTCAGCATATGAATTTTGGGGAGACACAAAACATTCAGATCATAGCAATGGGGAAAGGGGACAAGAAAGACAGGCTTGAGAAATAAACCATCCTGCAGAGAGGTAGAAGCAGAAAGAAAAACCAAGGAGTTGATTAATTTATCCTCATCCCCCTAGATAGACAGCTAGCCAGCAAGAGTGAGAAAAGTCACATTACAAGGAAGATCAGCTAGCAAGGGAAATTTTCCATAAGGCTGGTATAATTTTAAATGCCAAATACATCAATTACTGCATGCTCTCCTCTACTTTTGCTAAAGCTCCTACTAACAAGGGGCATGTCTTGTGTGTTTCAAAGCAAAAGCTGTGGGGCAGGCTGGCTCTGCATATTGCAACAGTTCCCCTGGTTTCCCTGCATCTGTGCTTGTCCCACTCAGATTGACCTTACACCTGGGTTGTCCAGAGGTGCCAGTAATAAATATGCCACTTGATACCTCTTTTCCTGGCAATAAGTGTTCACTGCACTCCTTTCACTCCCACCACAAGTTATAGAGCCATCATGCATGTGTCCATGGTGCTCAGAGCAGGAGCTCCTGCAGAAGCCTTACCCCAATGCATGATTTCTTGTTTCACTCCTCCAGTCCCAGTCCTCCACCCTTGATTAGCCAACAGTTGATGAACCTCATCTCTTTGCTTTCCCTTCTCCCTGTGTTCTAGCCATTTCTCTCTTCAACAGTGTCTCTCCCAGGATGTGGGCAGGTGCGAGGTGAGGAGAGAGAAGTAGAATCATAGAGACAGGCATTTCAGGGGAAATGGCAACATGCAACCAGCATGTACCGAATGCCTACTGTGTACCAGGCTTTGTACTTTGTACTAAACATTGCACATGTGGCTATTGCATTCTCATGAAAGCTTTAGAAGGTCCTTATCATCTTCCCTTTTTACAGACGAGGAAATTGAGGGTCAGGGCTGGCATGACTTGCAGGTGACAGGGCCTGCCTCCCGCGGTTGGGCTCCAAAGCTGTGTCCTCTCCACTGCTCCCTGCTGCCTCTATCCCAGCACTGAGTAGATCCAGCCAAATCCTGCTGTAGCCCAGGTGCCCTGACTCCTAAACACCACTACCCCCATTTGACAGATGAAGCAAAGGAAGCCCAAAAAGGCCACTCTGTGAGCAGCGGTGGCACAGGGATTTGAACAGGTCCCACCCCAGCATCGGAGCTCTTCATTACCATGTGCTAGTTGGGCTAGGCACCCTTCCACTGGAGTACCCTAAACTCTGGAGTTCAGAAATATAAAAACTAATAATCAATAGCTAGAAAGGAATGTTTATTATATATGGACTTTTAGTTATGCTGGCTTTCTTTGGCTGCCATTAGCACATATAACCCTAAATTGTTTATTTTGTTATTTGAGGACAGTTTCATGGATTCAATGGGGGGGAAATCCATACACAGAGCCCAGTTCCTAACCCCAGCATATGGAGACAGGGTGGGAGAAAGGGGGACTATAGTTTGGAAGAGCAGATCTTAGAGTGGCCATTCCTGGCCTTGCACAGCGTAGCTGAAGAAGTCAGCTGCCTTCCAGGCATCTTGGGCTCCATTCTGCCACTCAGCCCTCTCTCTGCCTGTCCCCACATCACCCTGGGTTGGGGCTCTGCCATTTATCCAGCCACTCTCCCCAGCAGAGCAGGTGTATTCAGAGAACTTGAAAACCATTTGGCAAAAGGAAAAGGAATCCATTGTTAGCTTGCAGTTGGAGTCACAGAACCTTTTCTTCCAGAAATATTTACATTCACATCCACATCTCCCTGTTGCTACAGAAAATTGAGGAATCCATGCCCTACGCTTGGACGATGGAAGAGAGCCACACAAAATTAGCAGAGCTGCTTGGCCTGAAAGAAATGACGGTGTCCCTTTCCTCTAAAAAAAATTCTGTGAGCAAAAAAGAATTTTAATCAAAATGGAAAGTAGGAATAAAGCATGAAGCTTTCTTTTTCAACTACTGATATCATACATATCACCCCCACAATGCAGCAAGTAGGGAAAAGCTAGTGAAAAATTTTCTAGTTTGAAATGCTAACATCTATCTACAAGGATAAGTATAGTGCTCAACAGCACAATATAAATTTAAAAGGCAAAAATGCCAAATTTCCATACCCAAACTCTTAGCTTTGATTTGACAGACAGAGCTGCCCCTAGAGAGACTAACCAAATAGCAAGAAAACTGGCATTTCAACCACAGTAATAGCTCACTTTCCTAATTATGAGACTGATAAGCTGCACAGACCTAGAAAGGACAGAGCCAGAAAAAGTGAAATTAGTTCCTCGGTCCTGCATTTTGCGGGACATGCTCCATCAATTAAAACTACAACACATTTTTTTTTTTAAAGAAAGGAATCCCTGCATTGGCATCAGTTCTGGTTTGTAATCTCTGTAACGACTTCCATGCATGGAGATTAAGGACTGCATGGGGTTGCAGCATCAATCCCTGTGGTCTTGGTTATTACTGCTTGAATAAATACATGGTTGCAACAAGGTCTTCATTAACATTATGAAAATCAGGGCCTCCACAAATTGAGTAATTGCTAGTGGCTTTTTGCTGCTCCCTCTTTTGTCGAGGACCCTGCTTGAAATCCAGGTGGATAGTGACAGGAGTTATTTGCATATGCTAAACAGACCAGCAGAGACCCAAGCTCTTCTCTATTTTTCCAGACAATAGTGGAGGATTCTGATAGAGGGGCATTGGGCAAAGCTTTCATGAGCCCTTCCCACCTGGGCCTCACTAGGGAAGTCCAAGGCCACTCCGGGTGCCTCTGGAGACATCAGTCAATTTGGAGGTTTCTGTAAAAATCAAGCAGCAGCAGCTCTTGGACAAACAGGATGGGGGACAGGGTGGGGTGAGATTATTAATCAAAGGCTGTACTGACTTATGAGTTTGTACTTTTGTGCTTGCACCATCTCCTGAGCATGTGGCTACAACTACTGCAAGCCAGATTCACAAGAAACTAAATTTACCTCTTTCCAGTTACTTCTGAGCTGTGCACACACACACACGTGTGTGTGTGTACACCAGTGTTTATGAGGTAACTAGCAATGTAAATGTACTTTCAGTTAAAAATCAGATAGGCATGTTGAGGAGAGAGCTTAGGGTAGCTCTTGTACAAATGGAATTTTGCCTAGTAAAGCATTTTACAAGATATTTGCAAGGCAGGAGGAGCCATGCATCTCTTTGGTACTGTAGAGAGACAAACAGCAGAACCAGTAGATCTGGGAAAGGCTTCCCCAGGCTGAAGAATCTGCAGCTTCTCCATCTCCCCGAGAAGGGTGAAGAGGGTCTCACCTTAACTTTTCCATAGCTTCCTTTGGGGATGAGAATCTTGTAGCCATTCACCTCCACAGAGAGCTCCTGCACCCAGGACACAGCTGAACCCCTTCGGTGCTCGTTCTTGGCCTCCACACTGAAGAAGGGGAGTCTGGAAGTCTGCAAACACTGTCGGGCCAACAGGTAGGCACAGGAGCCTTGGAAGTGAAAGAGGAAGCCGTCGAAAGTGTGGTAGTGAGGCTCCCCAAACACCACGCACGTGCTGATCTCCACGGGGCTGCAGAAGAAGAATTTGCCTTTGGGTGTGCACACCTCGTAGGCGCTACAAGAGGCCTCCTGGCAGTAGATCTCATTGTTGAAATCCAGACAGCGGCACTTGATGGTGCAGTTCAGGTCATCCCAAAACACCTCCCCTCGCCGAAGGAACTGTCCTGGGGAATAATGACATTAGAGCCAACATTTACTGAGCACTTACCCTCTGTTCCAGGCATTGGGCTAAATGCTTTGCTTCCATTATACCATTTAATCCACACAAGAACCCTGTTAGGTAGGTTTTGTCATTCTCATTTGAAAAGCGAGGACACCAAGGCTTAAGAGAAGTGGAGTGATTCATCCAAGAGCACTCAGCAGCTCAGAGGTGAAGCCAGAGTTCCAAGCAGAGTCTGTCTGAATCCAGTCTAAGCTCCTGGCATCTCCACAGCTGGTGAGTAAACGCACATTCAGGGAAAGACACACTGTCTCAATCCAGGAGAAAGGCTATGACACTTGGGAGTCACTTCTTTCCTTTCAGGGATATGAGGAAGGGTGTTCTGAAAGAAGACCCAGTTTACATTGTTTACTTGCTATCCTGTTCATTCTCTCACTAGACAGTTGTTGGGGCCCAATATGTGGCAGAAAAGGTCAGTACCACGAATCAGGAGTCAGACACACAAGTATAAATCCCAAACTCCCTGGGAAGATTCTGGAAAGGGCTGACCACTTGCTTGGCACTTTCAAAGGCTCATAAATCCTGCAGATGCTGCTTAGGCAGAATTTACAACCATACAAGTTGTCTTTTCTCCTGCTCTATGCTCTGTCCAAATCCAGTATTCCTCTCTCTTTCTCCACTGAACAGAACTTCTTAACAAATTCTAGGTCAGGAAGACAACGATCTGGGAGAGTGGGGGTGAGGGACGGTTTTAAGGGATGTGCTAATTTTTAAAATATTCACTACTGTTTATTTGATAGACATTCAGTCTTTAAAACCATTTTCTGAAATAAATTATTTCCCCAACCAAAAAACTTTGGAATTTGCCAGTTTCTAACATCAACCTTCAATTGAAATAGAAATATCTCTGGGCTAGGGGCTGTGATCTAGTCCTTGGTTGGGGGTTGGGGACACAAGAACTGGGCAGCAGTCACAGCTCTGCAGTCAACGTCCAGCACTATTGACTCAACTTCCACGTGTCTCAGTTTTCCTAACCTATAAAATGTGGATACTGCTATTTTGTCATCCCTGCCTCATGGGGAACAGTGATGCGATTAAAGAACTGACACACGTTGGTAGGAGAAGGAACATTTGTAAACTGAGAAAGTCTGAAAAGGAAAGTATCAAAACCAAAACATTAAGCAATGTAAATAATGTCATGCACCAGGAGAAACTGTAGTTTGAAAAGGGTTGGCTAAGATTTCTCAAGTTTTCATGAAAGTGAGTATCTACTGAATAGCACAATGTTAACCCCAGCAGAAGGCATGGGTGCCTCAGTGACAGTCCTTTTCTGTATCTATCCAACAGGGACAGTTATGTCTCAACAGACAATTATGTTTTATACCAATTGAGAGTAGGGCCCCAAAATGAGATAATAGATTTATTCACAGTTCCAGTCAATCACACGCATCAGCCCTTAAAACAGACCCTCCATCCTCAACACTCTTGGGCATTGCTTCAGGGCTGCATATATTGTAACAGCCTCCTCTCAGTACCATTTCCAGCCTCTGCTTTTTCAGGCTTCCAATAAACGAAAGGAAAATGGCTTGGAATGGAGGAGGTTTGGACCAAAAGGTAGACTCTCTGAGATAATTTTGTTTGTGAAGTGATGATATAATAAACCAGCTCTATGGAACACTTCCCCTGCTATAACCCAGGCCAAATCCCAATCTCATTAGATTGATATATGTCCTGTGGCACATAAAAATGCACAGTGGTCTGTACAAGGACATTGAATTTGTCCTGCATATGAAACCCAAACCCATAACTCAGGAGGAAAAGAATGAAGTCGAAATGGGGACTTTGTACACAGCTGGCATCTGACCAACTCCACAGCTCTGCAAGCCAATATTTTCTATTATCATAGCATTTCATTCCCAGGACCCAGGTGAGGGGCTGTCACTGGGTACCTGTGCTGCATGGCCACAGCTCATCGGCTCTGTGATGCTTGGACAAAGAAGAGGAGGCGTTTGGGTAAGAGTCTGTAACTTATCAGACCCCTAGTCCAGGCCAGAAAGGGGAGAGAGATAATGTGGTACTGGGTTCGTCTCTCTCACAGACCTTAAGTGATGCTGTATTTACACTCTGTGAGGGAGGAAGGCACAATCTCTGAAATTCTGGTGAGCTTTGGAAGGAAATCTATCCAGTTTAATAGCAGCTTAGCTCCAAAACATTTCTATACAGTTTAACAGTGGCTTAGCTCCAAAACATTTCTATCCAGTTTAATAGTGGCTTAGCTCCAAAACATTTCTGAACATGGGGGATTTTACAGAGTCCACAGAGGCAAGGAAACCCAGGCAGGCCATCTTCACCCATGATCTTTTCTCAGAGCAAAGGCAGAGGTTCGGTCAGCCTGACCACAGCACAGGAAATGGGGGCAAATCATGTGAATATGGCTTTTTTGTGTATTAAGTTTTGGAGCTCAACTTCACCCATGATCTTTTCTCAGAGCAAAGGCAGAGGTTCGGTCAGCCTGACCACAGCACAGAAAATGGGGGCAAATCATGTGAATATGGCTTTTTTTGTGTATTAAGTTTTGGAGCTCAGCCAAGAGAGAAGCCTGAGGCCTCCTAGGGCTGCCGGCACATGCAGGCCAAGCTTTCTATCTGAGGAGGGGAAGAAACCTCCTCATCCCAATCCAGAACTCTCTTAGAGGTCTGACTCAGTTTCCCCAGGGCCTTCCTCTGTGCTTCCAGGGCACGCTGCACTCCTGTACCACAATATGTCTTAGGCTGTGTCATCATCGCTCCTGTGACTGAAGCACCTTCATCTCCAGCACCTAACACCACAGCTGGCACCTCATTGGGGTTCTCAAAATGTTATTTGGAAAGAGGCAGTGGCTGGCTGGAGAGCGGGAGGGCTGGATGGCTGGGTGGGCAGGTGGATGGCTGGTGGACGGGTGGATGGACGGAGGCATGGATGCATGATTTCCTGCTTCTGATTGCTACGGCCTCCACTCCTGGAAGCAGAAATATTAAGAAAAAATCTGTTTTCTAAATACTTTTGGACACATAAGAAGCAGGAATCTCAGAGGAAACAGGAATGTTCCTGTGAGAGTCTAGGTGCATTTTGCACCACCAAAGAGGTTTTCATGGTTCAGAGAAGGCTCTAGGCTTTGGATCCCACTGTAAAGGAAACCTACTGAGGTTCAACTACAGCTTGGACAAAGAGGCCTAAAGCCAGCTGTGATTCTCCCCAAATTCCTGCATGTTTTGCTGCTGCAGGGAGGATTTTAGAAGAAGTTACCCTGAAGACTATGCTACTCCCCGCCCCTCTTTCTTTTTTTCTAGTCATACTAGGACGTACTGGTTTACCCTCGTAGGGACTTGGTGAAGCTCCAGGTGCGCCCACTCCCAAGTTACCCTGAAGACTATGCTACTCCCCGCCCCTCTTTCTTTTTTTCTAGTCATACTAGGAGGTACTGGTTTACCCTCGTAGGGACTTGGTGAAGCTCCAGGTGCGCCCACTCCTGTGGATCTACAGAGTGCAGATGGCAAAGCAAGAGGAAGGGTGAGAAGAAAAACTTGAAAGGGGGGTGGGAATGACAACAACAACAAAAATAATGTCAGACAGGAGGGCTTCCTTCTGTCCCTCTGGCTGAGAAGTCACTCCAGATCCTGGTCCATTTTGGAGTTGTTCAGAACTGATAGCTGTGCGCACACCCCAGGCAAGGACTTCTAAAACCTCGGTGTAGCAAATGCAGGGTTGCAGCTCCTGGTGTGATGAATGTGCATGCTAAAATTACCTTGATCTCCATTACCAGCTGAGAGATGTCAAAAGGAAGGCACCAGGAACGAGTCCGCCCCCGTGGCTTAAAAGCTTGTCTGTCAATCTCAACTAAACAAACCCTGCTTTGCTATAGAGAAGAGGAAGCACTTTACCCCTGGAGGTGCAGCCATTGGCTGGGTCAATTTCCTTCCCGTCCACTTTAAATGCCCAGCGGCCTGGAACATTGACGTTTGTGGTCTCTTGGATATTCACAATCTCAGGGGTCCTTGACCCTGGGAGGCTGAAGAAATTGGTGAGGTTTCCACCATTAAAACCTGCCTGGAGCACAAAAGGAAGACAAGACTTGAGCACACACACACCACCCCCATTGGTTAACTGGCCCAGCCACCTCATTTTCACAATCCAGCACACCTGAAACCAAGAGACTCCCTTTCCTGGAGTCACTGGGGCCACCATTCCAGGGGAGACAGGCCTGCCTAGTTCATCCCACACCCAGGTGAATGTATCAAGATGGGCAAGTCTAGCCTCTTAGTCCACCTGCAAGATCAGATATGCTTCTCTAGTTAAAAGCTGTTGGCAGGATTCCCTCCAGGATGCCAAGACACACAAGCAGAGAGTGCAGTGATTTAAACACGCAGGAGGGTGGAGTAGAGAACCACCTACCTGGGCCATCACTCCACCAAGACCTGTCAGGGGGTCACCGCCACTCGCTGTCCCAGTGGTCCAGTTGATTTCATAATAATTGAACAGCGTGAATGTGTAGGAGCCATCAGACACCAGGACAGCCTGGAAGGTGTTCACCTGCAGAATAGGAAGGGATGGTCTCATGACTTGTGCTCCCAGGAGCTCCTCGCCCCAGTGGCTCCCCTTATCCTGCGCCCTCCCCACCCCCAAGCAGCTCGAAGCTCACACTCTGCCTCCTCTCTCAATTTGTTCTCGCCTCCAGTGGGAAAAGCAAGACATGTGGGATTGTGCATCTAAAAGAGAAATTGCCTGAGATAAACCCAGAGTCTGACTCAGCACCCTCATCTACGACTTGTACCAGACAGAAAATGCAGAGGCTTGGCGAAGCTTGTGATAATACGAGAGCCCTATAGATGGCAGCATGAGAATAAACTATAGCAAACAGCCATGGCAGAGCCGTGAGTTCTTTCTACTGAAATGAAGTTGCAAATAGTTTTGATCTAAGCAGGACTTGAAAGCAACGTAGCTCAAACCCCAGAAGTCACCTCAAAACCAACCAGCCATCCCAATGACATTCCAGAGGCTGGTGGCCATCTGTACACACACTCTCGCTCGCTCTCACACACTGTATACATACATATTTCTTCAGCATTTGTTTTAAGACTCTTTAGACCTGCTTTTGTAAGACCATGTTTTTCAATTCTTGAAAGCCCCTTTTTGCTCCAGAGAACTTCCAATGACACCTGGAGGAGGCAGGTTACTTCACCTCTCTGGTTTCCTCACCTTGAAAGGGGAGATATTACTTGTCAGGGAGCACTTTTGTGAGGGTTAAATAATACGCAAAAATAGCCTGTCACAGCTCTGGGCACATGGTAAGCCCTCAATAAATATTTGTTTTCCTTCCTTGAAGTAAACATGTTCCCTGCCCCTTCCTTTTCTGTTGGGCTTCCTTGAGAGATCTGTCTTTAAAAGATCTCTCAAGCCCAGTGTTCAGTTGGCCTGATGATGTGTGTTCCTGTATAGAAGGGGGATCTTCAGATAATGGGAGATGGAAGAGCCCGGGCCAGTTTCAAAGACAGGGATGAATGGACACTCTCCAGCTCTGGAGGACTGTATCATCTTTTTTCTCCAAGCAGTTCAAAGCACTTAGAAGTTACCTCATTCATTCTCATAGAAAGAGTTCTCACTTAGTTCAGAAATTTACTCCAAAGTACCAACTAGAAAGTATCTAAATTATCTTGCCATTTTTATTACCAATGGAAGCTTTTTTTTGAAAAAAAATGGTGGTCAGCATTTGATGGGCATTTCTTCTCTTTTTTTTCCCCACTGACACTAAAATTTATCGATTGCTGGCATCCTGCATTCTCACACTGTAAGATATGAGGCTTAAAGGACATAAAACATCACCCGAGGAGTCGTTAGCGACCCATAACATGACAGAGGGAAATGTATGCTTCTTTAGAGGTTATTTCTAGCCAATGCATCCACTGTTTAAACTTGTGTCTTTCTGTGCTACAGAACCTCTTAGCAATAAAGTGCTTCTTGATGCTTGGGCTAGAAGGTACTAAAACACAATGTGCCCGCTGTGTCGCAGCTAGGCATTGCAAGCCCAGCACTTTCTCACCTCTAACTCAGTAGTTTCTGTACCACCCCTAAACAATTGACTCATTACCAGGGATATTGGAAAACAGATGGAACTGGAAATAATCCTAAGAAAGCAGAGGGCAGATTTCTGAGTGTCATTGCTTACTGGAAATTAGTTGAAGATGCGTCTGCTACTTCAAAAATTTCCACTGCCAAAGTCACCCAAATACGCTGTAGGCTTTTGTGAAAACTGCATTCTGTCCCTTTATGTAGAAAGTTGATTATCTCTACGATAATGCCAGTGATAATCTTTCTTATTTGACTTTTATTTGACTGCTCACTTGGGACTTCAGAGCAGATGTTGAAACTTTATTCACGAAACGCTCTAACTGTCCACTCTAATTAACATCAAATATGAATAATTTCAGCCTTGGTCACAATAAAAAGATGTCATAACATAATAAAAATGAGCCAAGTCATTTGTGCCCAAACCTGGCACCCTATTTTTCTCTTTCTACCAGGTCCTATGGGGTTGAGAGGGGGAAGGAAATCAGCAATGGCGAAAAGCATTTGTGTCTCTGGCAAGATAGAAAAGGACCTTAGGGTTCCCAGATGGGCCCCTAATTATGTGACCTGGAACAGGTCTCAGTGCCTCAATTATTCTCCTGCAAAACAGAAATGCTACCTATTGTGAGAACATTGTTGAAGGGTTCATTTTAGACATTTGTAATGATTTAGGGGTGACACATCTGAAATACCACAGCTAACTGGACTGGTTAGCTATGATATTTCCCTCTGTTTCCTGAGAAGTGGGTGGCAAGACTCATTAATTTAACTTCAGGGAACTGACATTCCTCTGCTCTAACAATTAGATTTCTTCACAGCAGTGAAGATGGACAAGAATTAGATGGCAGGATATGAACTGGAAAGTGGAAAATTTGAATTATTACAGGTGTGGTGCTGCTGCCTCCATAAAAGGTGACTTCCTCCCATGTCACAATGAAAACCCAAGTGGCAGAGAAGGTTGCCATGTCTTTGAAGTACTTCCTGATGTCCTTGGTGGCTCTTTTCAAGATGACGGGGTCCATGGTCTCTCTGTAATAGATCTCTCCTCGAATTCCATTGTGCACATCTGCCCAAAATGGGGCAATGAAAGCTCTCCCGTCCGTCAGGGGAAAGGATTCTGGCGTGAACTGGCTCACCAGCACATTGAAGGAAACAACTCCGTTGTTATTGACCTACAAAAACGAGAGAGGTTTTGCACAGTGGATCTGAAACCAGGACAACATCAGAGTCACAAACCAAGACAGACATTCACCTAATCATAGGAAATGAAAACTTTTAAACTGACTTAGAGCCCTCAAACACTAGCTTCCATTGCTGGAACTAGGAGGCTTGTTTACTTCCAAACTCACTGGTTTGCTTTCACTTTCAATTTGTAGTCAGCTTCATTTCTTATTAATAATCAGTCTCATTTTCATGTTCTTTATCCTATCTCTATTTACAGCTGTCAAATGCTACTGGGTTGTGCATGTATGTGGGGTGGGGGTGGGGGGCTAGCCAGAGGGTAATGTGGGCAATAAGACAGATCCAGAGTCACAGATGCAAAATAAACAAGAAAAACAAACAAACATGCATGGAAGCAAAGTTAAATTAAAAATCGAGGAGCTCTACATTAAACCTTGATTCCTATTTTATGGCAAAAGAGAAGCAGCAGAGAAAAATAAATGAAATACTCCTTCACTGAACTCAGATCTCAGGATGACCATGTCCTACTCTGGAGGAGACATTTAAAAGATTTCTATTGATGTCATAACCACTTCTGTGCTCAAAACAAGGACAAGGTGAAGACCTACAGGTGCCCAATTCCATTCCAGCTCACGTAGCTTGATAGCTTCTGTGTACATCACTGCATAAAAATTGAGACATAAATACTTTACATTGTGTATGTAAATGAGTATCTTATGGTGATTTCTTTATGATTTATAAATGGCTTAGTAAGCTTATTATATTATGAAAGCTTACTGCGAATTACAAGCCAATATGTACCCTCAGCTTACACAGGACCTGTAAACAATTCAGCCTCTGCCAGCATCTGCAGCTTTATACATTGGTAAATAAACTGATTTAATCCTACGGTTTATATGGCTTTAGCAGCAGAAATGCCTATGATGGGAATAATTGCAATTCCTGGGTACAGAAAACCTGGAGATCATTTTACTGTACATCCCATTGTTTGTTATGTTCCTATTAACCAGTAACATTATGGACGTTAACAGTTACCCAGATCCCAGCAGTAAGTCATCTGTGCCTGGGCCAAGGTACCTCAGCACATTTTGGAAGCAAGGGTGTGGGTTTTGGAAAGGAAGCTGGAGACTGAGCTACAAGGACATTAAGACTCTGTTGCCTTCAAGTAATAGGGGACAACCCAGAGGCTTGAAAAAGATTGTACTACTCAGTGCTATAAACTCAGGGAACAATTTACCCTCAAGTAAGTCTGCCCCAAACTAAGGACTCTCTTTTTGCAAGACCTAGAAAGAATTCTTCAGACTCCATGTCACATAGTAAAATCGCGGAGAAAGAGGAGCTTATCTACGTATGAAGGTACTTCACAAACTATTTGAAGTACTCTCATACGTTTATTCTAGAAGCCGGGGAGACTAAGGCTTATAGAACGGGAGTCCTACACTTCTCTCTCATCATCAAAATCAGGTCAACACATTCCAAAACTTACAATTAGCTATTACAAACACAGACTATGGAGGCCCTGCTGTGAGTAGAGCATAAAAGCATTTCAGGATGCCAGAGCAATGTGTTTGCTAGGGAATAATAGGTGTAATTAAAACACACAGACGAGCGGAAGAAGCTGGCGATGACTCATGTGTTTTGATTATATTCTGTAGTTAAGATCAGTGGTTCTCAAACTTTTGTGAGCATCAGAGTCACCTGCAGGGCTTGTTAAAGCACAATTAGTGGGCTCCCCTCCCAGAGTTTCCGATTCAGTAGGTCTGGGGTGGGCCTGGGAAGTGACATTGCTAATAAGTGCCCAGGTGGTGCTGATGCTACAGGTTCAAGGACTACTGGTTAGGTCAAGGAAGAGGGAACTTTTTGCTAGTGGGAAGCAGCCTGAGCTATAAATCAAAATTTAGGGAAGGTAGAGGTCCCGGATATGGAGATGGCCAGAGGAGGAGGTGCTTAGAGTTTCATTTCTTCTTCCAGGGAAGGGCACAGGATAGGATAGGATATGGTGTAATGTCTATATGCTTCACCCAATCCTTTAAGGCCAAAGATAAAGACAGGCTCAGCTGCTCTGAACCTTCCTCTCAAGGTGCAACAGTCTCACTGGTAACAAACCCAATGATCCAAAATTAACCTGAGAGCACAGGTGCCCAGGAGAGCTCTGACAGCAAACGGTACTATTTCCTGATGCAGGTTTGGCAGTGAGAACCTCTGCATATCTACAGACCCAATGAGGGTGGTCCATTCTGAAAACCACTCTTATATAACAGTTGATTACCCCACCACTGTGCTCCAACTCTGCTCCAAATTGGTAGGAAGCCCAAGAGCAGCAGATGCCTAAAGTTTTCACACCCCCAGAAGGGAAAGAAAAATGATATTGCTCCTATTGTGGTTCATTGTATCGTTTTATCTTGTTGAGTATCAGAAATACTGTTCAGACATTGGGGCCTCTGCTTCACTTCTACGTTTAATCACCCACAAAAGCAATTTATTGCCCTGTATGCTCCTCTGCTGTGAACATTAGCCATTAAATATACCTTCGACTTTCTTAATCATAAAACCTATCAGCTCATGAAATCTCAGAACTTGTTGTCCTGGCTGCCAAAGATTCCTCTGTTTCTGGAGCTCTGGAAGAGGGTATTTAAAATGATTTTCTTAATGACAAACAAAAGAAAGGACCCCAGAGCAACAGCTGGGCTGCATCTCCACTTACATAGACAGTGCGGTAAGGAACGCCAAAGAAGAAAACCGGGATGGCCAACTTAATCTCAGATGAGCTTCCATCGTCCACCTTAGGGGTTTTGGTGTCATTCTGCCAAAATGGATACATGAGCTCCCTGGGCTGAGCTGTCAAGAGACGGTGGTTAGATAGATGGCAGCTCCCTCTTCCATTTAGCAAGCTACTTCCCTCCCACCTGCTAAAGCCAGCCTCTGTCAGTGAGGCCTGCAGGCTAAAGGCAAGTCAGACCGCCTTTTCATGCATCCCAAACCTAAGCCATACACTGTGCGTCACTGTCCGCCTCCGGGGACGGGGAGAGTGGGAGTGATATCATTTCTCCTTGGGAGAAAGCTCTTCATGCTTTATTCCTACACTTCCATGCATTTTAGAGACAGCAATGGTTGCAACTGGCTGGAAGGTTGTAAAATTACCCCTGCCTGGAGCTCTCAGGCTTATGGAGGTGGCCTCTTGGTTGGGCATGGCTTAGGGGGCTGGCTCTTAATTAGATAGCAAAGTGGAGAGAAGGTGGCGGTGGCTATGAGGCTCCCTGCAAGCTCAAGAATTCTACTATTGTGTTTATTTTCCTGAAAGGAGTCCCCTCCCTCTTGCTGCACAATTGGAGAAGATACCAGATCCCAGAAGGAAATAAACAACAGTTGGAACTGGGACAAAAGTGGGAGGAGAGGGTTTTATAGTAACCGGCCTGTGAATGAGCTTGATTGAGGACCAGCTCTAAGAGAAGCTCTCTGCCCAGCTCCTGTGCACAAAAGACAGACACGAGATCCTGCGGGGCGAGGGAGGATGGGCCCTTGAGAACTCTTTGGAGGAGAGGTGCAGGGCTCTTATTCATCCTCCTCGTCAAAGGTGACAGTCATCACACAAACACACACAGCGCCCTCCTGTGACAGTATCACCACCTCTCCCAGCAGCCCAGCTTGCTTTTCCCGAGTTTCCCATCCCAACTCTTGCAAGCTGTGGCCCAGTTTGGCAAAAGAAATGAGACAATTTCCCCAGCGTCAACATTACTGAGGATCAGGTCCACTGGCACCTATGAAATAATCTACCTTTTGGGTGTCACTTTTCTCTGTCTCTGTCCTTCCTTCTCTTGAATGAAAATAAAACAATAAAACATTACCTTTTCTTCTTTTATCCTTTTTAAAATTGTGTGTTAGTTTTAGGGGCAGTGGCAAATCCATTCTGGGCTCCCAGCCTGCCGGCCATCCGCATGCCGATGTCCCATTCTCATGTCGGCCCTTGCCTTGGGAAAGTCCCTGCTCTGCACTGATGGAGCCGATAGGCTGGCGAGCACCTGGCTAAGGACTGTCCTGCTCCTTTGGGAGCCTTTTAGTGAGCAGACAACAACCCATGTACAAGAGTATGCAGAGTGGCCAGAAAGCAGCCTGGCATTGTCAGGCAAAGCGCCAGCTCTTTAGCTCTGGAGCAGGGAGCAAGAGGAAATGTGCCTGGATGGAGGGTTAATCTCTTTCCAAGGGCTAACATCAGAACAGAGCAGGGAAAACTAGCCCAGCCATTAATGTGTATGCATTGTTCCCCAAACCCCAGAAGTTTCTGGGACTCCAACCCAGTGTTCACCTTTAGGTGGTGCTGCAGCTAATTTAATCACAGGGGCACTCAGCTGATGTGCCATATTTAATGTTTAATCAGTAGGTGAGAAAGGGTCTTCTAACATTTCTATTTATACCATTTCCAGTAACCAATTCCAAATTCCTAGAAGGTAGAAATTTTTTTTTAAAATCTCTATAATCTCTACCACAACATCATACACAGGGATTTATTAAATTTGAAGGGTAATGAACTTTCTCGAATTAATAGTAACAATTCAAGTCATGTCATGGATTTATCCTTCATGGGGAACTTTTTAGGACTCATGCTCAAGTATAAATAAGGATTGCAATTCACACTGAATTGTAATCACTTTCATGGAAAGATTAATTGGTATTTTGGGCAGCATTGGCCCATCTGCCCAGGAGAGGGAAAAGCCATCACCCCTCATAGAGGAGACAGAAAACTGTTACCAAGGAGACTGTCCCTCACGTCTCTCTGTGCTCCAAAGGTAAGGCAAGTTTGCAAGATTCTTCTCTTCATGAGTGATCCTAACTAGTTCATGATTTTGAACAAGGAAGAATGGACACTTAAAATGTTCAATTTTAAGAACACAAATAATAAGGATATCTAATATTGTGAATACTCAATAAACACTTGTGGAATGTAAAGGAGGTGCTTAATAAGAGGGAGTACGTTTAAACTACAGTAATTTCCACATCTGAAGCTGTTATTATTAAAAAATATAACTGTTAGCAGTATGGCCTATCAATAGCATCAGAATTAGTAAAAGAAAGAATATTGCTACCCATGCTTGCTCTGGGCTGAAAACCTCACAATAAGCATAACTATGTTTCCAGGATTTCTTTTTCACCAAATAAAGTGTATTTTCTTGGAGCAGGGGTTTAAATCATTGGGATTCTTGCATTATTAGTGTTTCACACGGACTTCAATTTCCTACCCCTGCTCCAAGAAAGTACATTTTATTTGGTAAAAAACAACTGTTGAAATCTACACAACCTTGGAAAAATGTTAAGGCTATATGGTCTTAGATAAGTTTCATCTCAGACTTGGAATCATGTGCCACTTGAACTAAACAAACAAACTAGCAAAGTAAAGATGCTTTAGAATTTTAGCCATACAAGTTTAAAATCTATGTAGACTGCCCCATCTTTCTTATCTAACATCCAAAAACAACAGTAGGAATGTATGTGGCCTTTCACTTACCCAGGGCAATGCTACACAGAGAAAAAGAATGAATCGCCAAGAGATAACTGTCTTATTTCACTTGCAGTTTTAGATTTTGGGCCATGTGAAAGGTCACTGATACACAAGCCACCGACATCGATGTCATTGTCACTTCCTAATTTTTGGCTAAAATAAGTATATTCTTTAAAGTGTCTACCACGAGTTAAATGCCTTAATGGAATCAATAATTAGGCATGTGGTGCACACACACCTAACCTATTTTCTTTTAATGGAAAAAATTTGCATTATTTTAAAGATCTACTCCATTAAAACAGGGCAAGCTGGTATATACAAATTGTGTTCGAAGTTAAATAAGAAAAAACAGGAATTAAGTGAACATCATTCAAAGTTAATGAATTTTACCCTTGACAACAGACTCTAATTTACATTTTTCTTTTTGTATCTGTAGACACATGTACACCTGTCCTCACAATTATGGTTCCAACAAAAATGTCTCTTTATAAATTCAAGAGCATGTTAACCAAGAGCTTTATGGAATTCTGTAATACTCACCTTGGTGCCGTACAATTGCAAAGATGAAAGAGATCCAAATTCTAAGTAATGATGAATAATTCATCCTGGAATTTTAAAAAGAAAAAGAAAAAAAAAATCCCCAGCTTGCCAGAGTAAATAGAATACCAGGTGTGTTTGGTAGCAAATCCCAAGACACATCCCAACCATCATAGAACAAATTCACATAACAACATCAACAGTTCTGAGTGGTGTTGAAATTCCCTGAGTGCTGACAGGTCCTCCTAAGTTCAACATTTTGTGAACTAATTAGACCCCAAAAGAAGCCAGTCTGTAGGTATAATGAGTTCATTCAAATTGTCAGGTAATTATATAGAATCAACGAGAGAAGCAATAAGTAAAGGAAAGGCAGCTACTCTGCATCTACTAAAGCACTGAAAAGTAGGACCTGATTCTAAGAATGTGGGTCCCGGGTTGTGTCTCTAGAACAGAAACCATGACCTCTGTGAGGCCTGGGTCTCCTAAATTTCACAACAGCTTTTCGTCAGGATCACAGAACACATGTGTCCCTACAGATAGGAGGATTTAGAATTTGCCTTCACCTTCTCAGTAGCAGGGAGCTGATCTATCATTCTGAAGTACTGTCCAGATTCGCGGGTAGTCTAAGACTCTGTCCACTGACCTCCCATAGTGAAATGAATGATAAATACATTGGTAATAAAAAAAGAAGTGCACCAGGGTTGCTCCTTGGAGTTACAATAAAAATAGAATCCAGTGCACAAACATATAGTTAGTTCCAGCAAGTTAATTAAAGAAGGAACGTCACAAAGATGAACTTGTTTTCTTGTTAGTGTAAACATGAACCGGTGGCTTTACCCTCTGTTAGGAGCAGGGACGGTCTGTGCTGCTTCGCAAAGCTCAGATGTGAACACACATGCAAGCTCAAGGTAGACATACACCTGCGTAAGAACCAAAGTGCACGGCTAGATCATGAAGTTTGCACCTGACAGGATTCTTAAAAATAAAAACCCTCTTCTTCTCATTTGAAGTTATCACAATTTTTCAGCCAAACTTTCATGGAAAAGCTATGAATTTAGCCTGTGAGAGTTTTATTGTAAATCATCAGTTGTCAAGTATACACATTGAAATTTCAAGCACATATTAAATATTAGTCAATATGGCTAAAAATGGTATGATGACTTTAGCAGAGAACACACAAAACGTTAGCGGAGGCAGATGCCATGCAAGTTTAAGGCTTGAGCCCTGAGAGAAAAAGTTCAGAAAGCAGTAAGGAGGATTCATTTAGATATTTGTATTTATGAAAAAATGTCACTAACCTGTTCTGTAGAGCCTGGAGGAATTGAGTCAGAATTATTAAGTCAAATCTTGGTAAACCAGGAAAATCTTAGGTAAAACAAGAATTCATGTCAGTTCTCCTCAACTTCTTGCCAATTATTTCTGATTCCTGAAATGATGTCTGAATCCCGTACTCTTAAAACCAAAAATTCAGTTAGTCTTGTGCTAGAGTCAGGTAAGTGTTGAGTTGCAATCAAGTTTTTTCCTATTGATTAAGGAAAAGTAAATCTAAAGATCAGTTTCAGGATTGCGCAGAGAGGTTCTTTTCCTGAAAAACTAGACCTTTTTTTACCCCTCAGGAAAAAAAAAAAAAAAAAAAAAGTAGATTCAGATGGAAATGTCAGGTACTTGGAGCTGAAACCTTGGTCCTTTCTGATCGGAATCACTTTGCACTGAAAAACACAAAAGAAACCCCCCTTCTCCCTTTGTACCCAAAAGAAGGCAACTGTATAACATTACAGAATTAGCATCCACCAGCATGGGATTAAAACTCCAAACAAAGCTGCTGCCTCCAACATTTAAATGAAGTTAGTTTTCTACTAAAGTCTTTTTTTGTTTCTCTGGTTTTGAACAGTTGCCACAGATAGGCTTTCCTCCATTTTTTCACAGGTATGCATGAAGTATTTAAAGAAACTTTCCCAAACTTTTCTAGGTTTTATTCCTTCTCTTTTCTCTCTGATGCACTGCTGTGCAGGGTGATAGGCCAGGGCACTTTCCAGGCAAAACCAAAGGAGGCACCCAGGACAAGGCATGATCTTTCACAAAGGAAAACCGAAATGGTGCTCTGGAAACCTCTCCTAAGGTCCAGTGATGGTCTTCTGGGGGTGGGGAGGTATGGGGGGAGATAGAACACTACTGATAAAAATTTGCAGTAAGTGAATAATTTAAAAGGCATTATGAACAAGGGAAACACATGTTAGCTTCAATGCTCCCAGACATCCAGTGGATGGGGAATGAGAAAAGTTAGCTAAGGCATAAACTAAGTCTACTATTCAAAATGTTTAAAATGGAATTTATTAATAAAAAAAAGTAACTTGAATGTAGTGAAAAAACTCTCCTGTAAATCAATGGGAATTTAAAAATTACTCCAAATTTTCTCTGATGAGACATTCAAGTGCTGACTTACCAAAAATATATAATGCTGGGTTTGGGCAAGTTTTCCTAAAATAGACAAGAGTGTTTGGAGAACTAATTTGTTAGCCTAAATTATCCAATATTTTTCCAGAAATGTGTGATAATTCAGAAGGTTTTGCACATTGAATTTATTCTCACTAGTATTATGAATCCTCCACATATATTTACTAACAAATGTCAAATGACTGTTTTCCTCTGAAAGGCACATATTTATATAACAGAAAAATCTAGGTTTTTTGATGTTTATTTAAAATAAAATTAAACTCAAATCCCAGACTCACCTAGGGAAGCATTCTCCGTGCCCAGCCTTTGTTAAGGTTTTAGTCCAGGAGTCAACCTAAATGCATTGAAGCAAAGTAATCGGCCCTGTGTAAGAACTGCTGGTGGCACACTAACAGCCTTCATCATCTTCTTTCATGCACTCAAGGATATTTATATCTCAGCACTTTTGACCCATATTAAATGCTTCATCTTTCTTGAGGCCATACTGCTCCTGGGATAAGTGCCATCTGGGCATAACCAGATACACAAGAGGGTGGCATAAATGAATCAGAATGACTTTGAGAATGCGGCTGTGAGTGAGCGCCAGGTGCTTGGGGAGAGACAGGTCTGGCTCATTCATTGGGCTGGGAAGCCGGTTGGTGAGTGTGTGTTCTGGTTGTACACTTAGCGGTCACAGATGGACAAACAACAAAAATCTCTTTTCATGCCATGTCAGCAGGAGGACTTATTTTGCTGAAAGTGTGAGGTGAGCAAAGATTTCTGACAAGATTTAGATTGGGGGTGGGGTGGGGATGGCTTGGAACTAAGATATTTGCGCTTTATAAAGATGGCATAGATTGATGCTGCTTTTTAAGCAAGAGGAAAGACACCTCACACAAAATAAAAATGTATTCCCTAAAGTTAAAATCCCTGAAAAGTAAATTCCCTAAAAACAAGTAGAATGGTTCTTATGTGCTAAATATTTTTGTTTTGTTTTCTTAAGTTTCTTACTCCTTTTCTGTGAAAGAGAGAGATCTGAGCTAGTTTGAAATGACTCAGTTATTGTTGGTAGCAGACACAGAGATGTGCCACTCAGATCCGTCTTGGAGAGCCATTTGAGAAGTGTGGCTGGCCAGCAGCCTCCAGACCTCAGCTCTTCAGGCTTGGCCTCAGTGCTGGAGCCAGCAGTGCACTCTTTGTGGGGTGGCTTGACTGAGTGAACTGGTGGTACAACAGCCTAGCACTACCCCCCCAAAGCACACTTGCCCAATGGGTAGTTTTTGCTCTGGAGTGCCCTATGGAGCTATAGAGACTCTGCCATGTGCTCAAGTGAGGCAGCTCTATTATTCCAAAATCAGGGCCTAGCTGGGAAAACCATACACACACACACACACACACACACACACACACAGAATCACGAGTCACTTAACAATAGGATACCTTCTGAGAAATGGATTGTTAGACGATTTCATCATTATGCGACCATCACACAGTGTCCTTACACAAACTTAGATGGTATAGACTACTACACACATAGGCTATATGGCATAGCCTGTTGCTCCTAGGCTACAAACCTGTATAGCATGTTACTTCACTGAATACTGCAGGCAATTGTAACACAGCGGTAAGTATTCATGTACCTAAACATATCTAAACATAGAAAATGTGTAGTAAAAATATGGCATAAAAGATAAAAAATAATACACCTGTGTAGGGTGCTTACCATGACTGGAGCTTGCAGGACTGGAAGTTGCTCTGGGTGAGTCAGTGAGTAAGTAGTGAGTGAATGTGAAGTTGTAGGACATCATTATACACACTGTAGACTAAAAACACTGTACATACGCTAAAATTTATAAAAGACATTTTTCTTTATTCAGTAATAAATTAAATTCAGGTTACTTTAAGTTTTTTACTTTATAAACTTAAATTTTTTAAAACTTTTTGACTCGTAATAACATTTAGCTTCAAATACAAACACATTGCACAGCTATAAAAATACATTTTCTTTTTATCCTTATTCTGTAAGCTTTTTTCTATTTAAAAAAGGGTTTTTTTACTTTTTTATTAAAAACTAAGACACAAATACACTCATTAGCCTAGGCCTACACAGGGTCAGGATCATCAATATCTCTGTCTTCACCTCCACATCTTGTCCCACTGGAGGGTCTTCGAGGGGGATAAGACACATGGAGCTGTCACCTCCATGTGTGATAACAATGCCTTTGTCTAGAATATCTGCTGAAGGACCTGCCTGAGGTTGTTTTACAATTAAATTTTAAAAGTAGAAGGAGTACATTTAAAAATATTAAAAAATATACTATAGTAAGTACATAAACCAGTAACATAGTCATTTATTATTATTATCAAGTATTACATACGGTACGTAATTGTATGTGCTACACTTTTACACAACTGGTAGCAAAGTAGGCTGGTTTACACCATGTAATTTATTTTATATATACATGTACATATATGCATACAAATATGTATATTATATAAGATACATTATATATACATGTACATATATACATAATTATATACAGAGAGAGGAGCTATCTGTGTAGATGCCTCCAAAGATGTATTCTCAAAACTTCTGAGCCTTCACACATGTCCTACACCACCTCATTAAGAGCT